TTACATAGTGACTCACCTCTTCTTCAACGTCGTTATTAGGTCAATGCTTTGCTTGGTCGTTACCTTTAAAGCTTAATTGAAGCAGCTAATAATTAAATATATTATAAAACACAATGTCTGTTTGTTTGCCCAGTTGTACGGATATATAGAAAGAAAACTATTTATCCAAATTTTATGACTGTAGAGTCATTTAAAACATGTGGTTTTTGTAACAATTTAAGAGTGATTAATGACATCACTTCGGAAAATGTAATTTCGAGCTTTACATTATAGTTGTTGTAGTTTCAACAGAAAAGAAAATATATGTATGTTCATCCTTTATCTAGTAAAACTTTAAATTGATAATGCATATAGAAATTACTCCTCTTCATAGAATTTTTTTTAATATTAACTTGTTTTAATATTTTTAACTGTTTTAAGTATTTATTTCTTAATAAAGGAAAATAACAAGACTGCTTATTCGCTAACTGTACGAGAACAGAAATAGCAAATGAAGATGAATAAAAAAGTTTAATAAAACTTGAATTGAAGCAAAATTCGACAACTTGTTTAGAGGACTTTATTCACGCTTGAAAGTTTTAGTTGGTCTTATGGACCTTAAAAATGTTTTTATAGAGACTCCTAAAGCTGTAACATCGATGCTAAGCTTGTATTCAGCCCTTTTGAAGGTCCCACTGCTGGGCACGGGCCTCCCTTCAGTACGAGGGCCATAGTCCACCACCACGCTGGCCAAGTACGGGTTGGCGGACTTCACATGTCTTTTGAAAACTTGCTAGGTTCTCTCCGACATGCAGGTTTCCTCACGATGTTTTCCTTCACAGTTAAGACAAGTGGTAACCATCTTGGAAATGATTCGCACATGAAAATATCAGATGTGTGAGACCCGGGATTTGAACTCGCTTCACTCGGATTCCCAAGCGAGTGCATTACCATTGGCCTACCACTGCCTTATGCTACGCTTACATTTTTTTATTAATCTATACATATAATAAAATTGTAACTACCCCGTATCTTTACATTAAATATTTTTTAGAAAGTCTTATTGAAATAGACATTATTATCGATACAGAGGCCGAATCTATAGTTTTTAGAATTTTTGTCTGTCTGTCTGTCTGTGACCGCATCACGGTTTTTTTGGTATTATGATAGCTGGTTATCCGGCTTAACATATAGGATACTTTTTACTGCGGGAAAATATCTCATCTCTGAGAAATCTATATAAAACGCAAAAAGAACTTTTAAAATCGAACTGGTGCCTAGTTTCATAGATTGGGTTGACAAACAAAAACTCATCAGCTTTACATAATATGATTGATATAGATAAGCCGTAGAAATGCGTCACAAGCTCATCGGTAAACAAAAACAACTGTCCAATTTAATATCACCTTTATCTCCCGAATTACATCATAAAAATTCAACTAGAATGTACGCAGACGGTGTTTGTTAGTCGCCATCGACAGAGGTTCAACGCGCTACGCCTACATACACATTTTTACGTGTCAATAAAAATAAACGATTCTTTGTGCTGTGTATAGCTTTATAATTACGCGACTGCGAATAAGAGGATGTGTAAGGTTTTTTTAAACGTTTACACTTGTTTTGTTACGTTTAGGTTTGTTATTTTTAAGTGATTGTTAGTACTAGGTATATGGACGATTATGTATAGTCATAATTTATTTATTTATTTATGTTTATTGGTCCACAAAACAAATGACAATCAAATACATATAAAATAAGAATAGCTTGCAAAATTAATGCACAAGATTGCATTTTTCTAGATGCAGACACAACATGCATATACAACAAAACTTAATATTACAAAAAACGAGATTTAACCTACGGTAACAATGAGGAAGGGCTTTTATCTACTAACAATAACGAAAAATCTTAAAAAAAATATATGAATTACTAACAACAGCTATTAAACTAAACAATTTGCTTTAATTTTTTACGTAAATAGGCTATAGAGGTATCATTAAAATATCTAATTTAAAACGAATAGTGTCGTACGCTGAACACATGTGAAATAAGGGCGAGTGGCTTATTACATTAGTTCTCGCGTTGGGAAAACAGAATGTCTTACGATTTTGTACACGACTACTTAATTAGGATTTGTCCTTACTAATGGAATTTTGGTTTGGTTCACCCTATTAATCTATATATATAATAAAATTCTAGCTGTGTCGAATATGTAAATTAAATATTATTTGGAAAATCTTATCGAAGTTGTCATTATTATCGATACAGAGGTCGAATCTATAGTTTTTTGAATTTTTGTCTGACTGTTTGCCGGTCTGTCTGGGAACGCATCAAATAATTAAAAAAAAAGGTAATATTTATAATAATAACAGCAAAAATTAAATAAATAATATTGCTATATTTAATTATAATATATATATTAAAAAATTTAAAATGTTTAGAAATAAAAATCAACTAATATTTTTGAATTTTTGAAATCATTGTTGTAAAATAGTAGGTAGGCACTGTCTGTAACAAGTATGTGTTCGAGACGTCTATAACTTTAGTCTCTCCCGTGACCATGATTGCTGTAAAGCATTCGAAACGTCGGAAACCAAAAATCAAAATAAATCCGCGAAATAATCCGAAAAGATAGTTTTATTAAAAATGTCAAATATTCGCGTGAATCTAAAAAAGTATTATATAATAAAAACTTTTTAACAAAAAATAAAAACCGACTTCCAGGCACTAAAATGTAAAAATAACTAAACGGAGGTTTTATTTAGAATAGATACCTAATCAGATATTTTCGAAGTCGGTGAACATACATAAAAAAAAGATTCCGACGAATTGAGAACCTCCTCGTTTTTGGAAGTCGGTTAAAAATACAGTTACATATATTACCTGGTGGCACGCACACACACACTATGTCCTTCCTTACCACGCGCCAGTTGGATTTCTAATAAACTACCACCCCACGACCAGCAGAGTGTCCCACTCGATACGATAGATAAATATGGACACATACATATATTAATAAACAAATAATTAATATTTTATAGTGAATCTGCATACACTCTATAGTCTATACAGATAAATAAAGACGGAGTACCTGTTTGTAATGGCAAAATAACAGCTTTATACTAAATACGGTACTTGTAAGAAAAACTCAATTTTTTTTGTCTGTCTATCTGTTTGATCCGATTAATCAACGTAATGGCTGGACAGATTTTCATTGGCAGATAGCTAGCTAGATAGAAGTAATTTAGGTAACTTTTATTTTGGAATAAGAATTAGGGTTCAGCTCAGAAAAAAAAACTTTCCTAGGGACACAACCAAACGAAGCGAGGGTAAGTCGCTACTTCATAGTTGGACATAATTTCATTCATTTTCAGTTACAACACCTATAGAAAAAAGACTCGTGCTTAACGGAGGAAGTACCTAGTAGTATTTATGAGTCCTGTGTTATATTTTACTAGCATTGCCCGCGGCTCCGCCCGCGTTCAGATGACTAAAAACCAAATTCTTAGGTTTTACATATTAGTATACTCTTATATTGCAGTTTTTGTATTTTTTCTCAGAAATGAGATATTTTCCCGCGGTAAAAATCCTATATGTTGACCCGGATATCCATCATACCGAATTTCATCAAAATCTGTCCAGTGGTTTTCTCGTGATGCGGTAACAGACAGACAGACAGACAAAAATTCTAAAAACTATAGATTCGGACTCTGTATCAATAATAATGTCTATTTCAATAAGATTTTCCAAAAATATTAAATGTACAGATTCGGCTTAGTTACAACTTTATTATATGTATAGATTTCAAACTTCCCATGAAATTAAGTTTTTACTAAATAACGTGTTCCTGAGGCGAGTACATTTATTAATAACAATGACAACATTATGTATACAAAAGTATGTAGATATTTGATTTATAATATCTTTATAGATCTATCTCTGAATTTTACGCAAATAATAACTTACGTCGTAAAATTACAAATCGTGATCTTCTGCGAATAATCTTTTACGAGCAATTTATATCGATCGTTTATGTCACTTAGCTTTGAAGGTGTATCTATTGTTGTAACGCCAATAGAATTTCATATAAATAAATATAATATAAAATTATATTATTAACCGTCCATCATAAAACAACGACAACATAAAGGGGAAATTAACACATTTCCCTTATATTTCTTAATTTAATGTATGCGAATACTTACATGTTATTGTTATTGCTTAATAATAGTAATAGTATGAGTTTCTTGTATAAATAAATATGGACATTAACACCCAGCACCATCTAGTTCCATTGTAAGCTTCTAGGCTTGTGTTATGGATACCAGATAGTTGATACACTACACATATATAACTTGAAATACATACACATTGTAAATATAAACACCCATGACTGAGTACAAATATTCGTACTCATCACACAAATGAATGCGTCCAGCGGGACTCGAACCCGCGACAGCTGGCACAGCAAGTAGTGTCATTAGATACTGCACCAAAGTGTCATCATATGTATGTAGAGTGTCATGTAAGTTTTTTTTATTTTCTATATACGTGTTGTTACATATGTATGACAGTCGCTGCCCTTGCTTCGTCGGATGTTGATATAAAACTATAAGGAGGGCCTGACCACCCGTTAATTAGTTAATATCTGAGCTAAATTAGGATTTTTACCTACTAGTTATACAAATATATAGATACACAATTTCATGGTTTTTGTACAATTCTACAATACCGTCTTGTTTTCTTTTGTATAAAGACAATATAAAAAGCTAAAACTCTAAGTTAATAGCTTTTCCTTATTGTTAGAAAGAAATAGGTTTATTATAATCGACCTACTATTATTATAAATATTGAATGTATATCTTTATAACTTCTTCACACGAAAAGGCTGGATGAAGTTGGATAAATAGATATGGCCTGAGGTAAAATATAGACTACTAGGAACGCATCTGAACGTAAGTCGCAAGTAAGTAAATATTTATTGTATTTTGAACTTAGATTTCTTATGTTTACAGGTTAAAATGGCGGAGCAAACACAGGTAACTGGCGCTACGACACCTGACGCAGAAGCACCCGACACCGGCCAGACAACCCAGCCACAGCCAAAGAAACAGACGAGAGTGCGAGGCAAGCCCCAACCAGAGAGACCTAAGAGAAGTCTATTATGTCTAACTTTGAAGAATCCACTAAGAAAGCTTTGTTACGATATAGTGGAATGGAAGTATCCTTTTACAAATAACTAGTAATACCGTATAGATTTGTCTGTATATATGTTCCATTTCTGGTTCTTATCAATTGTATCCCGTAGAGTTTAGACTAAAGAATGATATATATGGAACCCGTCAAAAATATCAAAGTCAACAATAGTAGCGCGATTTGTTATTTTGGTACTATTCTCGATTTTGCCATATACAGATAGTTTATTTCTTTAAAGAATAAGGTAAATTTTATACTGGAATTAGTCGTTAATTTATATTTCTTGTGAAGGAAATATGAATAATACAAATTATACAATATCTTTTGTATTTTAAAGAGCGATAACTTATAGCAGCTTATTTAATATTTTTTATTTATATAATAAAATATCTAAGTTATTTTATTAACGACACGTTTGGCTTAGTTTGTAGTTACTTGCTGTGTCAGAGGTCGCGGGTTTAGTCGAAATCATTGTCTACTGTCTCATATAATTAACTTTATGTAGTTTCCTAAACAAAAATATTATAGACCATTCGAGTACATGATATTAACGACTATATTCGCAAACTGTATAGCGCTAGCGGTCTTCACTCCATACCCAGCGGGGGACACTAACAACACAAACCAAATATTGGTAAGCACTTTGATATTATCATAATAATAATAAGTTTTAGTTTTAAGAGAACTTTTGCACGGGATTTTCTATAAAGTACTTTTTTGATCAATGTCGGAACATGATGACAGTAAAAGATCTTATTGCCTCTACTGGTGACAAGAGAACTGGCTTTTTCACCCAAAGAATCGGCATTTCCATTCAGCGGCGGAATGCTGTTAGCATTCTTGCCACTATTCCACGCGGACATGACTTGTACAGTAATAATTACGTATATATATATATATATATATATATATATATATATATATATAATGTGTATATATATATATATATATATATAAGTAAGTATATTTGTAATTTCCTTTTGCAAGTAATCTTAGAAAAATAAAATAAAGATATATTAGAACCAAACCAACTAAAAATAAAGGTAATATGTATAAATTATAAATGTATATTCTAAGGTTTAAATTATCTCTTTGTTTTAGGAAAAAGTAGAATGGATATTCATGGCGATATTCACAGGGGAGTGTGTTATGAAGATTATCGCGTATGGGTTTCTATTTCATCCTGGCGCCTATCTCAGGAACACGTGGAACAGTCTTGACTTCACGATAGTCACTATTGGGTATGTCGAACACATTTAATTATAATATCTATATATAAACTTAACTATCTTTTCGGATTTTTTTGCGGATTTATTTTGAATTTTGGTTCCCGACGTTTCGAATGCTTTACAGCAACCAGGTCACGGGAGAGACTCGTCTCTCCATTAGCAATGTAAAAGACAGGTGACGTAACGTGTGATATCAAAATAAATACTCGAAAAAATCCGAAAACAATGTTTATTTAAAACTAGCGACTCACCCTCGCTTCTATCGCTCGAGTTCGTCCCTGAGCTGCTTCCCCATACAAATTTTCATCCTGATTTTCATCCCATATTAAGGGATGATTCATCATCCATTTCATCTTAAGGGATGATTTCCGGGATAAAAACTATCTTATGTCCTTCCCAGGATCTCAAACTATCTTCTTACCAAATTTTATTTAAATCGGTTTAGTAGTTTCGGACCCTATTCGGTACAAACAAAAAAATAAATCTTTCGTCTTAGTAATATTATTAAAAATTAGGTTACGTACTAGTTACGTATTAGTTACGTTTTAACATTTAGTATAGATTTCTCAGAGATGAGATATTTTCTCGCAATAAAAAATATCCTTCATCTTGACCCGGATAACCAGCTATCATCATAACGAATTTCATAAAAATCTATCCTGCGGTTTTCTCGTGATGCGTTCCCAGACAGACAGAACCCGAGGGGAGCGAGTGTGAGTCGCTGGTCTATATATAAATTGGTAAAAATTAAGCAGTTTAATACCTTATTTTTCTCTGTTTGTCAACCGATTTTTTTTTCTTGTTTATAGCTATTGACGAATTTTAGGGTTAATAAGATTAATTGTAAGCATATTGTGGGTACATAGGAGTTTGACCTTTGGCATAGTTTAAGTTTATACGGAGGACTGTAAAAAGCTAAAATTTATGGACTTCCTTTTCTCCGAGACTCTACTCGCGTAGTTTATTTATGTGTGACTTCGCTGGGGCTTCCCAAAACAACCAGAATCATTATGAATTTTTAAATACCCTTACGTAGTTTCCTCACACTTTCGGTCAACTTCTTTTATATTTATAAGTAAGCCTCTTGCAAAATTAGTTCTTCTCTTCTTCTTCTTCTTTCTGTTGTTGTATTTAGGTTTGTTTAATCTATTTTGTATATTATTATAAGAGTTTATTGGGTATATAAATGCTTTTTTTTTAATTTTGATGCAAACCTGTAGAGAAGCCATAGAATACTAAATAAATATTCGATTGAATGACTTATTTATATTGGTTTCACTTATAGCTCAGTTGCTGTTTTATGTATATTAGTATCGACGTTAATCAGTCCGGATATCTGGACTGCTTCAAAGCATATTACATAATATATTTGTCGCTCCTCGTTAAAACAGTGTGGCATTTTGTGAGAGATTTGATTTACGATAATGATAGATTATTTGAGTGTTATGATGCAACAAAACGATAAATGAGTCTCTAAATTAAAATAGTTATTATTGAGTTACGTACGTTAAGGGTATAAATAAATAAATATGTTGGGACATTAGCACACAGCACCATCTAGTTCCATGGTTAGCTACGAGGCCTGTGTTATGGATACCAGAGAGTTGATACACTACACATATATAACTTTAAATACATACATATTATAAATATAAACACGAATGACTGGAGTACAAACATTCGTGCTCATCACACAAATCCCCAGCGGGACTCGAACCCACGACCGCTGGCACAGCAAGTAGGGTCGCTACAAACTGAGCCAAACGTGTTGTCTTGTATAAATAATGGTAAGTGTATAGTAACTTATTGTCGGTCTCAACAACCTATCTATCTCTAACAATTGGTAAACATTACTACTATTAGTAGCTTTGGTCTGTCAATAAACGAAGACATACATAAGAATCTCTTTCTATCATCTTTCACACTGATCTATCGTTCGGAAGTTTTACCACTTACATTATATAACACCATAAAGTATTGACTGACAGATTCATGAACGGCCAGAATAAACCACTCAAAACCATTTAAAAAGTTATATTAACAGCATATTTCTATTACAATAAGAATCTTTCATTCCCTTATAATTGCTTTCCTGACTGTTTGTTTTTTTTCGAAGGTCGAATATTCTAATAACGTAAAATAAAAAAGTTGGCACTCGACTTCATATTTAACTTAGACGTTAATATAAAATAGTATATTAATTCTATTGAGCCATTGGTGTACGAGTTGAACTCAGACTTGTTCAATTTTTTGATAGTTCTTATAATCCTACTAGCGACTCACCCTTATTCCGCTCGGGTTCGTCCCTAGTTACGTTTTAACATTTAGTTTAGATTTCTCAGAGATGAGATATTTTTCCGAAGTAAAAAGTATCCTATATGTTGACTCGGATAACCAGCTATCATCACACCAAATTTTATCAAAATTTGCTCAGTGGTTTTCTCGTGATGAGTTCCCAGACAGAGACAAAAATTCTAAAAACTATAGATTCGGCCTTTGTATCGATAAATGAATATTTGAAATGAATATTTCAATAAGATTTTCTAAAAAATATTTATTGTACAGATTCAAGTCAGAATTTTATTATATGTATATAGTATAGACAATATTGCTACGTCCCATGTATATTGTCGAGTAGTGGAGAGTGTGTAACGTCTTTATACTAGAAATAATAATAATTAAAAATGGCTCGTCTGTAGTATGCTTAACATAAGACAGTTAATGACAAGAACAGTTAATCGTAAATTGGCATGGGCGAGAAAGGAACAAAACATTTTGAAGAAAGGAATTGAAGTTACTAGAAAAGTTTTTAATTTTCGTGTACTAGAATGTTCTTTGGTTATGTATATTTATATGCATAACCAAAGAACATTCTATTATTAAGAGCCTTTTTTAAAAGGCAGTGTGTTGAGAGATCTGTTAAATTTCTCAGCTGAGAGAAGATTTAGAAGAAAAACATAAAATTGAGGAAAAATGGAGAATAGTGCAAATGCAAGTGGTGTAAAATAATGCTTAGAGACTGAGTAAAGCTAAAATTGTGCATATACTTACTGCGTGTTTGTAAACCGCCATAAGTGACTGTGAACTAAAAGCAATAAAACATTCATAGTGTAGAAGACATACATTATTTTCGGATCCCAGAACTCATAGAACGTAACAATATTGTAACTTAACCATAGATTATATGGTAAACTAATGGCGTACTCTATTCGATATGAAAGTAACATGAGTTTGGCACGTAACAATATACTTGAATTATCAAACAGGGACGTGTTATTGGGTCATGGGAATTACTTTACCTATACAAGGTTTGATTATTAGGGGATTAATATTTCATTCCAAACTTATCTTCTTACCCAAAAAAATGTTCAAAAGCTTTTTCTAGACATTCTGGATGAATTATAAAGAGGCAGAGTTTGTTTGTTTGAACAAGCTAATCTCAGAAACTACTAATCCAATTTGAAAAATTCTTGTTGTATATATATATATGTATATATATATATATATATATATATATATATATATATATATATATATATATATATATATATATATTCATGCTACTACCCACGGGAGCGGAGCAGTGATATAGAGGCTATCTATTCCATACTAACCGTTAAAACGTAACTATGGGACGAACTCGAGCGAAGCAAGGGAGAGCCTTTAGTAAAATATATTTATACTAGCGACTCATCCTCGCTTCGCTCGGGTACATTTTAAGTCCTTGTGTACATTTTAATAATTAATCTGTGTCATGTATATTATATAACAAAGATTATAATACATTTAATTTTAAACAATAGCGCTTATATTCAGTCATTTGAATAAAGTTTTATTACACTTCATTACATTATTACTTACACTACAATTACTTTGCGCGCATTCTTTAGTAGCTATTTGCACTAAACAAATGCACGACTGAAACCTATTTATGAAATCCGGTAAAAGTAGCTTATGTCTCTAATCGGCCTACAAAATAGAGGCATCTTGTGCCAAAAATAAAATGAGAAACGATTTAATTTAATATAAAAGATAGATAAACAAACAAATAAATTTTAGAATGTTTTTTACCTTGAATTTGGTGATATAGCTATCGTTACTTCTTTTTATCAAACTTTTTTTTTAGTATTTTTTTATGTTTACACTTCATGTCTATTGCAAAAATAAATTCCTTCATTTTTATATCTCCAATTGTTCCCACTGGCTTTGTCAAATAATAAACACGCCATATGCCAAAAATCATGTATTCTTTATTTTTATTGTATTGTATGTATTGCACTCGACTCCTTTTAACGTCCCCTTTATGGGCACGGGCCTGCCTTTAATACGAGAGGGATAAGGCCATACACCACCATGCTGGCCAAGTGCGGGTTGGCGGACTACACATGTCTTTCAAAAATTTGTTAAGTACTTTCAAACATGTAGGTTTCCTCAAATATTTACATATATACACACATAATATGTATAATAAACAGTAACAAAGTCAGATCTGTAGTCTCACATCCGAGAGAAGCGAGGGTAAGTCGCGAGCTTATAAAATATAAGAACTGATAAATAACTTAATATGCATTACAAGTGAACGAATAATTTACCTATTGTAATACATGTAGAAATAGTCGGTAGGCACTGTCTGTAACGAGTAATATAACGCCTTTGAGACGTCTATAACCTTAGCCTCTCCCGTGACCATGATTGCTGTAAGGCATTCGAAACGTCGGGAACCAAAAATCAAAATAAATCCACGAAATAATCCGAAAAGATAGTTTTACCTAACATACCTATAGGTAGTTAAAATTAACGAATAAGAAATTATTATAAATTAAATTGTTTGTCAAAAATTGAAAGCAAAAGTAGTTAATACTTTCTTAGATTTACGCGAATATTTGACATTTTAAATAAAACATTTTTTTGGATTTTTTCGCGGATTCATTTAGATTTTTATTTCCCGACGTTTCGAATGCTTCACAGCAATCATGTTCATGGGAGAGATTGTTTTAAACGTCTCAAAGGTTACTTCTTATATAATTGTTATTACTTATTTCTAAAAACAGTGAGATAATCGTATACGATGTTAATACAAGACTATTACGACTCAATCAAATCTAAATTATAAAAAAACATACGTACAGACGAATATAGAACCTCCACTTTATTGGAAGTCGGTTATTGAGATTAGTGCTTTAGTTACATCCCAGTTAAAATAAATTTTATGATTACCTAGTACTGTAACAATGGATAACCTTGTAATATTCTATTCTATTCTTTTGTTTAGTGGCTTCCAGGAGTGACAATTGGGCACAAAATCCTTGTAATAGTTATTAATGTAACGCATTAAAGTACGTAAATTATGTGTCATATTGTCTTGTAAATTTAGAAATAAATGAACTTGGCCCATTAACTAAAAGCTTATAGATATGGTTGACGTTGGGATTTACTTTGAAGATGTAAGTATAAATACCAATTAGCTATGAAATATTATGAGATTGTGTAATATTTATACTGATTTTAACGAGTTTTGATATTATTTATATTTAACTAATCTAGATTCTAATAAAATAGGCATAGTTGGAAAAGAGTTGATGTCAGGCAGGCGGCCGATCGTAAAACTTTTGCCAAAACCGATCAGCAGTAGCATAGTCTACGCCAATATCAAATAGTTGTTATCATATTAACAAGTAGTATATTCTTTTTATTGGGACTGATATTAAAATCTGTTTGTGATGAATATATTAGGTGAAAATTCATAATATTTAGCACTACGAGTATATTCTATCCGTACAACACGCGCCCGAATCTATAATAGAAATCGATGACCGCGACGACCATGGTCTCTGTCACGGTAGACTCCTGTGGACTCTTAGAAATAGATTCATATCAGCTTCTTTATTTTGTTAACATTACCTTACTTAGTTACGTTCTGAAAAGATAATTAAATAAGAGGCTCGTTTGTCAATCACCAGATAAATTTTATTATTAATACGATAAAATAAATACAATAAAATAATATTTGTATGAATAAAATCGTGAAATTTTAACTGATGACAGAAAAAATTGACTTATTGACAAAAAAGGCTTCAATATTATTATGAAAATTAAATATTCCGCCCTGGTGGGCGGGGGTGGTTTAGGTTCTTGAACATTACATGATGGGTATTAATTAAAAAAGATACATTCACCATTAACGAAAATATAATACAAATAAATAATAAATAAATAAATATGTTGAGCCATTAACACACAGCACCATCTAGTTACGTGGCAAGCTACGAGGCTTGTATTATGGATACCAGATAGTCGATACACTACACATATATAACTTTAAATACATACATATTATAGATATAAACACCCATGACTGGAGTAAAAGCATTCGTGCTCATCACATAAATGAATGCCGTTGAACATACCTCTCATGAAGGTCTCGAACCCGTGACCTCTAGCACAGCAAGCAGAGTCACTACAAACTGAGCCAAAAGTGTCGTCAAAAACACATATACACATTACGCAAATACTTCAAGGCTTTAAAAATAATAAATAAGCACATTCTTAATACAACTAAATTATAAATAAACAGTCGGTTTTTATTTTTTTGTTAAAAAGTTTTTATTTTTCCCTTTTTAGTGTAGACAGTAGTAGCAAAGTAAGAATTAAAACGTGTTAGGCTTGTCAAATCAAACGAAATAAGCCCAAACTCAGCGTATCTACTATTAGCCGTTGAAGAGTTCCACCTATCCACCTTCTGGCCTTACCATCAGATCAGGTCAACAATACCGAAACACTGTACTATCAACGAAAATAGAAACACTTGCAAAGTTTCATCAAGTCAAAGTCAATATGACAATTAGAAGTAGGTTAAATATATTATTAGCTATTTTTTCACCCTTAGGGGTGGTATTTTTTTTTGAAACTTAAATGGGACCAATCTGAAAGTATACACTTTCAAACAACACAAAGATTGTCCAAATCGGTTAATAAATGACGGAGTTCTGAGGTAACAAACATAAAAAAAATACAGTCGAATTGAGAACCTCCTCCTTTTTGAAGTTGGTTGAAAAGATACTATTCGTACTAAATAGATGATTCAACTTTAACTTTGTTAGACCTCTGACGTCATAGTATAATTTATGGGGTCAGTTTACTTGAGCTTTATTGAGGTTAGAAGCTTTGTTTAGCAGTAGCTTTGTGTTGAATATGGATCGGGATTCGTTTAATGGATATTTATGAAATGTAATCGTGTCAAGGTGCTTATTTTCGTATTGATTGTATTGTGATAACATAAAGTGCTTGCCCCTCCTTTGGTTTTAATTGACTCAATGGTTTTCTTAAGTGTGCTATAATATCTATACATATAATAATATTCTAAGTAAGTCGAATCTGTACGTTAAATATATTTTGGAAAATCTTATTGGAACAGTTATTGTTGTCGAGATAGAGGCCGAATCTATAGATTTTAGAATTTTTGCGTGTCTGTCTGTGGCCGCATCACGAGAAAACCACTGGACAGATTTTTATGTGATTCGGTATGATGGTAGGTTATTTGGGTCAACATATAAGATACTGTTTACTGCGGGAAAATATCTCATCTCTGAGAAATCTGTGCTAACCGTTAAACGTTTAGTTTATAAATAACTAGCATTTCAGATGACCAAAAACCAAATTCTTAGGCTTTTTACTCTTACATTGCAATTTTGGTATTTTTTCTCAGAAATGAGATATTTTCCCGCAGTAAAAAGTATCCTTTATGTTGACCCGGATAACCAGCTACCACCATACCGTATTTCATCAAAATCCCTCCAGTGGTTTTCCCGTGATGCGGTTACAGATAGACAGACATAGACAGACAGACAAAAATTCTAAAAACTACAGATTCGGCCTCTGTATCGATAATAAAGTCTATTTCTAAGTTTTTCCAAAAAATATTCAATGTACAGATTCAACTTAGTTACAACTTTATTATATGTATAGATTGTCCTATGTTATTATCCTATTTGATTGTACTATTTACGGACTATATAATATGCTTGGAGTTTTAAACCGTTTTTCTTAATATTATATTGTAATTGTATTTTACCGTAAATTACTAAAAACAAATTTCAAAGAGCTGTCGATAATTTTGAATAGTACTAAGTATATTTTATACTTCCAAGTTCGAATATTAAAATGAGAGAATGTTCGTTCAGTTGCTGAAATTCGACCATAATTATTATTGAAAATTTGAGAGAAACATAGTATATGAATAGAATTTACCTATCTATATATACAAAAACTAATTATTCCCAAATTTTTATGATAATACTAAAGTTCGTCAATAGCTACTAAACAAAAAATAATAATAAAAAAATATTAAATCGGTTGGCAGAGGAAAAAAGAAGAGCTGAAATGTTTTGTCCTTGTCTATTTATATATGGATCCTATAGAATATTAGCTTGTTGCAATAGTCTATCCCATATAGACTTAACTATCCAAATCAGTCTTATGGATTATTAGCATTCTTTCTTAAGATTTTATCGGGAACTACTTGTGTCCGGCCTCGTGTTATCGTGGTTCAGTTTATTTAAATGAAAATATTCTCCGCATTCAAATATGTATGTATTGGAGGATATTTGGATGGCGAATTACAACAAAAAGTTAATATAAAAACTTATACCATGTAAGAGACTTTTACGAGTATGTGTCAAGTTATCTAAGCAACTGGCGATGAACTTTCGCAGATCTGCGGCTTTGCACAAATTAAATCTTTCGGGCTTTTTAAGGTAATAATTTCTTAGGGCCCGTACCCGAAAGGTGCCAACAGAACCCTATTACTAAGCCGCTATTCGTCCATCCGTCTGTCAAAAGAATGTATTCCATGAACCGTAACAGGTAGAGAGTTGAAATTTTCAGCGTCTATTTCTATTGCCGCTATAACAACAGATAACAAAAAAACCAAGATGGCAAATTTCAAAAAGGCTGCCATGCAAATTAAAAAGAAATCGATTATGGTACGGAGCCCTCCATGTGCGAGTCCGTCTCGCAATTGACCGATTTCTTATTGATATTTATTATTCATACATACTATGTTGATTAATATTTACAGTTAGGTATTATGTATTATTATATTTTATGTAAGACATAAAAAACTACAGCATTCTTAAAGCATTCACTTTTTTAAAGAGGAATGTAATTTTTTTACTATTTTTTTTACTTTATAGAATAGTCAGTCAAATTCTTCAGTTCATCTCCAAAGATCTGTTCGACGTGAAAGCTCTGAGAGCGTTCAGAGTGCTACGACCTCTACGACTGGTCTCCGGAGTGCCAAGTTTGTATATTTTTTATATAGCATTTATTAAATAACACTTTAAATCCATTATCCCATTACTGTTATAAACGCGAAAGTTTGGATGGATGGATGTTTGTTACTCAATCAAACTACTGAACGGATCTGGATAAAATTTGGCACAGAGATAGATTTCTTTTTACTCCAAAAATCGTACGATTCGCATAGGATAGATTTATTTTTGTTCTTCAGCTTTTGTAGCTAGTGTTAAATATTTTTATGAGATAGTGCCATATAGAATTTGCTTATCTTTTTAACTAGGTCAAGGATAGAGGGTTCGATGACTGCTCTAGAATTCTTAATCTTTTGTGTGATCAAAAAGGGCTATACAAGTACTATTGAATTTGTTATACCATTGTTGGTTCAGACATTGTTGCTTTCAAAAATATGAATATTTCGATTTTGTTATCGAATATTTCTTTGTTTTTATTAGATTCTGACAAATAATAGTTAATTATTATTGAATTTTATTTACGTAGATATTTAACGAGCTATTATTTTAATACCATCGTTTTTAGTATAATAATAAATAAAAAATGGCATTTTGTAGTTTTTCCATGGAAAGTCATTACTGACAGTAAAAATCAAAAACCCTTCATGGCATTCATTTTTTCAAAAATTCTTAGTATAATTAATACAAGTTTCTACAACGTACTAATGTACGTAATAAAAATTTGTTATAATGTGTTATTTTTTGATATAGAATAAATAATATATTTTTTTTAATTATAATATTATTAGTCTAAATAGTATATTTAGATATTTATTTCACGTTTCAGGTCTCCAAATCGTATTGAACTCAATACTAAAAGCCATGGTGCCGTTATTCCATATAGCGTTTCTGGTACTTTTCGTGATCATCATATACGCTATCATAGGCTTGGAACTGTTTTCTGGAGTGCTGCATGATACGTGTTTTAAAAATGGCACCAGTAAGTGAAAACTTTTAACTTTATGTAATTTTTTTTAAAGTTTTTAAGAATTTTGATCTATATCAATTTCAAATTATATTGAATCATAAGCAATTTTAATTAAACTAAAGCATAAATTCAGGCAAATTCATATAATAACTAAAAAGGTGTGCTAATTCTGAAATTATCTTTATCATAATTATCGTAACAGGTTTCAGGTTCCAGGTCATATTCAGTTTTTTTTAGTTGACGATACGTTTGGCTCAGTTTGTAGTGACCCTACTTGCTGTGCCAGCATTCTGATTAATAACATTTTTGTCTATAAAGGTAGCAATAGTGATGCTTAATATATTAACTTTAAATAATAGCAATCTAAATTAATATTTTTATTTCTTTTAAATTAAATATAAAACAATAATAATGCGTAAATAAATAATTAATATTTTTAAAAACATTTTAATATTCATTATTTAGGTTATACATACTATAATAATAGCAACACTAAATAATATCTTATATCAGCAATTAATAAAGTTTCAAAAACATTGTAAGAGTTATAATAATAACAGCTAGGATGAAATAAATAATATTGCTATATTTTATTATAATATTTATTAAAAAAATAATTGTTTGGAAATAAAAATCATCCAATATTGTAAGGTTTGGTGCCATTTTTGAATTTTTGATTTTTTTTTATAAAATAGTGGATAGGCACTGTCTGTAACAAGTACATAACACCTTTGAGACGTCTGTAATCTTAGTCTCTCCTACCAGTATATAAGTGTATAATCTATGGTCTCTCCCGTGACCATGATTGCTGTAAAGCATTCAAAACGTCGGGAACCAAAAATGAAAATAAATCGGCCAAATAATCAGAAAAGATAGTTTTATTTAAAATGTCAAATATTCGCGTAAATCTAATGAAGTATTAAAATGTCTCTATTCCAGATGACATGATAAACGATCCAAAACCATGTTCCCGAGACGCTGATATAGGCAACCAGTGCGAAAAGGGTTTCGTATGTAAGGACTATTGGGAGGGTCCCAATTATGGTATCACCAACTTTGATAACATCGGCTACGCCATGCTCACAGTGTTCCAGTGCATCACTTTGGAAGGGTGGACGGATATCATGTATGCTGTGAGTATGGTTTTAGAATACTGAAGACACTGGGTTTCTCTGTAAGATAAAAATTTTTGAAGTTATACATATTTATTAAATAAAACTATCTTTTCGGATTATTTCGCGGATTTATTTTGATTTTTGGTTCCCGACGTTTCGAATGCTTTACAGCATCCATGGTCACGGGAGAGACTGAGGTGTTACATGTCTTAAAGATATAGTTGTTACAGACAGCCTACCCACAATTAAAAAAATGAAAATTGCACCAATTACATTACAATATTTTTTAATTTAAGTTATTTTTATAATTTTAATTATAATTGAATATGGAAAATTATTAATTAATTTTTGCTATTATTTTTTTTTTATAATTATTACAATTTTAAAATATTAATTAGTAATCTATATTTAGTGTTGCCAAATAAAAATATAAAAATATAGTATTAATTATTAAAGCCATATAATTGTTCTATGTGTAATTTAAAAAGTTAAAATTAATTAAGGCTAATCATTTTAATTTAGTTTGCTATTATTTAAAAATAACTTACTAAGCAACACTATTAATATATACTTTTACAAATGAAAAATATTAATCTGATAAGCTGTCATTTTGATCTACACAGTATGAACTTACTACATCTGCCTGTCTGTTATGTTTATATTTATTATTTGATTTTATTATATTAATAACAGGATCCCATGACGATGGTAGTACCCAGCCATCTTCCCTATTGAAATTTGGATGTATTTTAATTTCTATGGCTTCTTTTGCGACCGTCGCAATACAACATCTGCTGTCTGCAAACATAGCCAGGACCGCCCAAGCCATTATATTCGTTTCGATAGACCTCAAATCCTGGCGAAAGAAAACCGATATCGTCCTAGAATGATTCGAGAAGCCATAGAAAATAAAAAACATCCAAATTTCAATAGGGAAGATGGCTGGGTATTACCATCGTCATGGGATCCTGTTATTAATATAATAAAATCAAATAATAAATATAAACATAACAGACAGGCAGATGTAGTAAGTTCATACTGTGTAGATCAAAATGACAGCTTATCAGATTAATATTTTTCATTTGTAAAAGTATATATTAATAGTGTTGCTTAGTAAGTTATTTTTAAATAATAGCAAACTAAATTAAAATGATTATCCTTAATTAATTTTAACTTTTTAAATTACACATAGAACAATTATATGGCTTTAATAATTAATACTATATTTTTATATTTTTATTTATGGTTATAAATATAATAATGGCAACACTAAATATAGATTACTAATTAATATTTTAAAATTGTAATAATTATAAAAAAAAATAATAGCAAAAATTAAATAAATAATTTTCCATATTCAATTATAATTAAAATTATAAAAATAACTTAAATTAAAAAATATTGTAATGTAATTGGTGCAATTTTCATTTTGTTAATTGTGGGTAGGCTGTCTGTAACAACTATATCTTTAAGACATGTAACACCTCAGTCTCTCCCGTGACCATGGATGCTGTAAAGCATTCGAAACGTCGGGAACCAAAAATCAAAATAAATCCGCGAAATAATCCGAAAAGATAGTTTTATTTAATAATGTCAAACATTCGCGTAAATCTAAGAAAGTATTATACATATTTCTTTTGGCGCGCAGGGAAAATATGTTGAGAGTGAGCGCGACAGATTAAGACTACAGTATGAAGTTAGTTATTATTGGATATAGTGTGAAGTGCTAGGATAGTCTTATAGGATATAAATATAGCCTAAAAAATATTATGTAGAAATAATGCCGTGGATGCATGGAGCTAGTAAAATCCAGTGTAAATTTAATGTTTTTTTTGTTTTATTGATAAATAAACAAACGTTTTTATATTTTTAATCCAAATAGAAAAACTGAAATATATTTTTTATTAAAATTGGTTAAAGTCTTCATATTTCGAAAATAAAAAGAAACGAACAAAACTTCGAGGCTAATATAATAATAAATTATTATTCTAAGTAGTAAATGGTTTTAAGCCGATGTAACTTTAAACTAAGGACTAATAATCATAAATAACTAATTACATTTTAACGGTTAGTATGTAATAGATAGTCGATCCCTTGCTCTTTAAACAACAAAAATAAATCTATCCCACGGGAACCGTACATTTTTCCGGGATAAAAAGTAACCTATGAACAATTCCAGACAATAATCTATTTCTATGCCTTTCATCCAGATCCTTTCAGCCGTTCTGGCATGATTGAGTAACAAACATCCATCCATCCAAACTTACGCATTTATAATATTTATGGGATTAAGAAAATAGCTTATAGCGCAATCCCTATTAAATTCTTATTTGTTTTATTTCCAGATAGCCGACGTAAAAGGTAACACGTGGGTGTGGATTTACTTCGTGACGCTGGTTATATTTGGAAACTTTTTCGTCATGAACCTCATTCTTGGTGTGTTGTCCGGGTGAGTATTGTGTATATTATTAACTAAAGCTATTATTAGCTGCGCTTGTTACTATGTTCTCTACTCTTGGAAGTCGATTTTATCGTAATTCTCACTGTTTTATCAATTTGAATTTTTTTTATGTGAAATTTGTTTATTATTACGATGATTTGTTACCATCAAGCTGATCTGATGAAAGAGTAAGATAGATTAGTGGAACTCTTCAACAGTTTCTTGAAAAACCTCAACTGGAATAAGTTCATATTCGAACTTGTGAGTTATTTGATAAAAAACAAAAATTGGGAATTTATACAGATAAATAAAATTAAATATCTGTAATATCTAAATAAAAGCTTTTTACTAAATGCATATGAATTTGTATACGGCACTTAAAAGAAAAACATAATTTTTAAAATTTTTGTCTGTCTGTTTATTCCGGATAATCTTTGAAACAGCTAGACCGATTTTGACGGGGCTTTCACTGGCAGATAGCTTATTTTATAAGAAGTAACTAAGTCACTTAAATTTTTGAAAAAAGAGTTAGGGTTCCGCTTAAAAATATGAAAACTTAGCTGGGAACGCACCCAAGCAATGCGAGGATATAGCTAGTGATATATAAGAAGTTATGTCACACGATCGGAATGCTCCGTTGTCAAAATTAGCAATATCGATCTGATAATGATAATAGTGTCAATGAAAACTCTTAAGTTTGTTTAGCAAAAACAGTAATAGGTACTTAAATAGCACGAACACTGACATTATATTTATATTAAATCTATCAAAATCAGAGAGTTCTCCAAAGAAAGAGAAAAAGCAAAGAATCGTGGTGATTTTCAAAAGTCAAGGGAGAGGCAACAGTTTGAAGAAGATCTCAAAGGTTATCTCAACTGGATCACAGTTGCTGAGGAGTTGGACCTAGAGAACGATCAGGGACAGAAGGAGGAAGACCAGGATGATCAGGGTATACAACACTTTGTTTATATTGGAAGTCTATATTTTAAGTCTAGGTTAATTATTTTATTGTAAATTAATTATGTACATATTATATTTGAGAATTCATCTGAATATAGGTATACTAATATTATAAAGGGAAAAAAAGTTTTTTTGTGTGTTTGTAATGGATAAATTAAAAAACTACTGGACCAATTTTCAAAAATATTATATATATATAATATATATAGAAACAAACGCGAGCGAAACGAGGGTCAGTCGAAAGTCAGTTAAGAAAAATCACTTTAAATCAAATAAACTAATTACAAAATTAAAAATATTCAAATACTATGTCGTTATTGTCTTTTCATTATGATTGTATTATTATATGATATCTATCTTTTACATATTATATCTATCATAGTATAAAAATAGTAAGGATATTTTTCTGTAAAAGATTTGAAATAAGTATGTTATATATTCCAGGTAACAAAAAAGAGAGACGGAGCAATGACGAGACACAAAACAACAACAATGCTAACGGAGAGCCGCCGCAGACCACCACCTGCAAAGTGTACTGTAGACGATTTGATAAAGTAAGTCTATAACTATTGACTGACGGCTGTTGCTATTTTTACTTAAAATAAGGACGAATAAAAAATAATTATTCGTACTTTAAAAATGAGCGAAATATACACGGAACAGACGATTTAATTAAATGATGCGTTGGGAAATGTAATAAGCGTGAACTCAATAGCTAGGATAACTTTATAATTAAAATAAAAAGGAAATATATTTTAGTTCAGTCTTCAATAGAGACAAAAGTTAATCAGTTTTACTTTCGCTTGTATTTAATAGCACGAATAATGAAGGAGGCTGTTGCTATTCGTCCGAATATAATCGGATGAATAAAAAATATATTATTCGTCCAACTATTTTCGGTTTGTACGAATATCTAGCACTTTTTGTTTTCTAATCTAAAATAAGCGATTTTTAGATGCAGGTGTGCTGGTTTGTATAAACATAACCTTAACGTATCGAGCTGAAAACTTATACTTTTGAATCCCGACGATGTTTATATTCAAGAGTTCTTAAGGTTAAAAAAATGTTTTTCGTGCAGGAGTTTCTGTATGCAAAAAAAAATGACCTTAACCTACAGAGCTGAGTCGAACTACTTATTCTACTTACTTATTTATTAGTCTATCGTCCTTTCTTATAATTTAATTATATTTTATAAAGGACGAATAGATAGATACTCTGAAAAATATTATAATTTTTTAAATGTATGTTTAATTAGGTATTTATCTGTATATTATAAATGTGAAAGTTTGTGGGTATGTATGGATGTTTTTTACTCTTTCATCCCAGAACGGCTGAACGGATCTGGATGAAATTTGGCACAGAGATAGGTTATAGTCTGGAGTAACATATCTATTTTTTATCCCAAACATATACGGTTCCCGAGGGGTAGATTTGTTTTTGTTTTAAATAAAAGCATGTTAAAAATGCACATACTTAAAACAGCTTATGCCATACCAGTTATTAAATACAAATTAATGTATTTTTTCTATTTAATCTATTTGTCTCAATCTTCGTGAAACTTATTATTTCTTATACCTATATTAACCGACTTCAAAAAGAAGGCTATCTTACTATATCAAAAATATTATCTTGCAGATAAACCGGCGCATGCGCAGAGCTTGCAGGAAAGCCGTCAAATCCCAAGCATGCTATTGGGCGATTATCGTACTCGTCTTTCTCAATACATTGGTGTTAGCGACGGAGCATTATGAGTAAGTATTATTTCTATATATTAATAATTGACCAAGTCTCTGCTTCAAGTCTGGCAAAATTTGCTTTCCTCTGTCAGTTTTTTTGGTCTCCTCTACAGGTCTTATTTTACTATCGATCTGGACGAAACTCGGTATACAGGTTTTAATTTAAAAAAATATTTCATATAATAAAAGCTACATCAGAGAGTAACATGAGCCGTATTATATTTTCAAAAAAAAATAGAGATCTTCATATATAAACTGTAACATTAAATTTGCTTTCCTCTGTCAGTTTGTTGGTACACCGCTACAGCTCGTATTTTAGAACTGATCTGGGCGAAACTTGGTATACACGTTCAACGACTTTATAGTCTTTATTTATCTTCGGGAATTTTTGATTGGATTGGTACTTCTCCTTTAGTCCATCTTTACTGCTAGCATTGTTGATAGTAAATTTATCATTTTAGTTGTACTTCCATCAGCGTATGGTAGGTATTTAGTTACAACTAACAGATACAACAAATAATATTTGATTGTAATTATTAAGTATGATGCTCTGAAAGGTGACACGATAGTCAAATTTACCTTAACAAATTATATATTTAGTGACCAAAATTTGAAAAATAATCCACAATCCGTTGACAAAAACTAGTATAGCAATAATTGATGTCGAATATTTATATAAAAAAACATACACATTGTACATATATTTTGGTTGTCTTTTTCAGTCAAGACCCCTGGTTAGATCGTTTCCAGAATCACGCAAATAATTTGTTCGTTGTATTGTTTACTATGGAGATGTTGGTGAAGATGTACGCCTTGGGATTCCAGGTAAAATAAATTACCATTGTAATACCTGTCTGTCTTTTTATTAATACAATTTGTGAACAAAATACTATCTTAAATGTGAAAGTTTATGAGGACGGATGGATGGATGTTTTTAACTTAATCTCGCCAGAATGGCAGATGAAATTTTGGCACAGAGATAGACTATAGTCTGGAATAGCACATAGGTTACTTTTTCCCGGAAAAATGTATGGATCCCGTGGGATAGATTTATTTTTATCTGGGGGCGAACCCAAAGTGAAGCGAGGGTGAGTCGCTAGTTATTAAAAATGCGTAAGTTTGTGTGTATGTTTGTTGTCCCTTGAGGCTTCAACGGTTGGACGAATTTGGAAGAAATTTAGTATATAGATAGGATATAACCTGAGACATATTTGTATATTATATACATACATAAACCTATTAGTAATAAAATTTGCCAAAACAACAGTACCTGGATATAATATTATAAATACAAAAAACAGCTAGAGAAGTATCAAAGCGAATTAAGATTACACTTGTACTGCAGTACAACATATTAAAACAATATTATCGTACTAATATTATAAATTGTGAGTGTAGATGTTTGGATGTTTGTTACTTAATCACGTCGCAGCGGCTGAAAGCACTGAAATCTGGGAGAAAGGCACAGAGATAGGATATAGCCTGGAATAGCACATAGGTTACTTTTTATCCCTGAAAAATGTACGGTTTTCGTGGGATAGGTTTGTTTTTGTTTTGAGGCGAACCCGAGCAAAGCGAGGGTGAGCCGCTAGTTTTTAATATATAATAGTAATCGCAAACATTTTTTTTTGATCTTCCCTATTTTCAGATTTATAAGATCTGTAATAAATAATGATAAACAATATAATAACGTAACCATTCCCCAGGGCTACTTCGTGTCTCTATTCAACCGTTTCGACTGCTTCGTGATGGTGTGCTCCATCGTGGAGCTCGCGCTCACACTCAGCGACACCATCCCACAGCTGGGCATCTCCGTGCTGCGCTGCGTGCGCTTGCTCAGAGTGTTCAAAGTCACAAAGTGAGTATACACATACACACATACATACATACATACATACAACGATGTTTGGTTCAGTTTGAAGTGACCCTACTTGCTGTACCAGCGGACGCGGTTTATAGTCCCGCTTGGGGCAATCGTTTGTGTGATAAGCGCGAGTGTTTGTAGTCCAGTCGTGAGTGTCTATATATTTTATAATATGAATGTATTTAAAGTTACCTCATAGCTTACCATGAAACTAGATGGCGCTGTTAATGTGCCAATATATTTATTTATTTTATTTATACAAATGAATAAAATTAAAATGTCTGTTTGTAATGACAAAATAATAGCTTTTAACTCATTTCATATGATAACACGATACTTATAAAAAAACAATTTTTAAATTTTTTCTCCATCTGTCTGTTTGTTCCGATTAATTTCCAAAACTGCTAGACTGATTTTGACACTGGTAGGTATCTGATAATATAAAGAGTAAGTTACTCACTTTTATTTTAGAAAAAGAATTAGGGTACTGCTCAAAAAAAAAGAAATTGAAAAAAAGACGCATCCGAGCGAAGCGAAAATAGCTCGCTGGTGCTTAATAATATTTTGTATGTTTTTTAGATACTGGCGCTCTCTCTCCAACCTAGTCGCCTCTCTACTCAACTCCATCCAGTCAATCTTCTCTCTCCTTCTCCTGCTGTTTCTTTTCATCATGATCTTCGCACTGCTCGGCATGCAGGTGTTCGGCGGAAGATTCGACTACGCACACGAGATAGAGAAAGAGAGACACAACTTTGACTCTTTCTGGCAAGCTGTATTGACTATGTTTCAGGTGGTGTATTATTCATTTATACATACACTCGACTTAGCTATACCTTTTTAAATAAAAAATGAATGCTATGTGATAAGCGAAAAAAATCCATTTTTTTTATTTAAATGAAATGTCAGTATGTAAGTTCGTCATTTACCACTGACTGGGGAGGCAGTTCTGCTGAGAAAAGCTGGCGGAAAACTCAACAGCTGCTCCATATATTATGTATATCTATATATTAATACGTGTAGCAAAAACTTTGTACCCCTTTTTACGAAAATTACGCTGACGGAGGAATGTGAAACTTGACACAGTTAAAGTTTATATGGAGATATAGTGTAGAAGGCTAATATTTTTATATAAAATATATTAAGAATATATTAAATTCATTATTATTTTGATATTTGCACCCCATTATTATTTTTATATTTTCTCACACCTGAGGGTTTCTGGTAGAGATCTCTTAAAGAGATAAGTCATCCTTTGTAAACATGGTATCTGTTTTCACTTGTATGGTTTTTCTGGTACATAAATAAAATAAATAAATAAATTAATTGATATAAACATTTTGTATGTGAACCAATATGTTTATTTTTTGTTTTAGTTTAATAGCTATTGACGAGCGATAGTTTTATAAATTAAAAAAAACTCTGCGAACTCTGGTATAATATAATATGTTTTCTTTATTAGATATTAACAGGCGAGGACTGGAACGTGGTGATGTACCACGGCATCAACGCGTACGGCGGCGTGGGAAGCCCCGGCATGCTCGCCTCCTTGTACTTCATCGTTATTTTTATATGTGGTAACTGTATCCTTTACAAAATATCTTCACCTGTAATACTTTCTTAGATTTACGCGAATATTTGACATTTTAAATCGGATTTTTTCGCGGGAGAGACTCTCCCTTATTGCTGTAAAGCATTCGAAACGTCCGGAACCAACAGACTAATACATCCGCGGAAAGTGCAAAAAGATAGTTTTATGTAAAATCTTTACTTGTTATATTTGTATTGTATTAGTTATCTTTTATATTTATATTTGGTGTTTTTTTTTGGATCTCTTGAATCTCTTGGTGACAGGCAATAACAGCTACTCGTAGATGAAAAAATTGAAATTTGTTATCTATGTAGCATGGGAAGTTAGCAGATGTAAATAATCAAATATGAATATTGAATTAGTAAAATCGGGGGAAATCTATACGTATAATAAAATTGTAAATAAGCCGAATCTGTACATTAAATATTTTTTTGGAATATCTTATTGAAATAAACATTATTATCGATACAGAGGCCGAATCTATAGTTTTTAGAATATTTGTCTGTCTGTCTGTTTGTCTATTACCGCATTACGCATCACAGAGAAACCAATGGAGGGATTTTGATGAAATTTGGTATGGTGATAGCTGGTTATCCGGGTCAACATATAGGATACTTTTTATCGCGGAAAAATATCTCATTTCTGAGGAAACAATGTAACCATGAACGAATCTCTAATTCGTCCATGAATGTAACGCAGGCGGAGCCGCGGGCAATGCTAGTAATAATATAAATATATTCAAATTTGATTGGACAATAAGGAAATTATAGAATTGTCAAATCGTCGTCTCAGTGCTTATTTGTCCGAACGACCAATTTACGGTACGAATTTTTAATACAGAATTATTGATTTTAAAATGTCAATTCTATTACTATTAAATACATTTTTTACTGTAAAATAGCAGAAAAAAATATTTTTCTAATATATGTATGTATATAAATCATAGAAATAAAGCTTTATTTTTAAAATAGAGGAATAAAACTGTCTATTGTAAAATGCAACCAATTTTGGTTGTTTGGACAAATAAGCACAAAGACGACCTAATATATCTTTAGAAATGTACATTTAAAGAGTTTTTGATAGAGAGACAGCTATAAATTTCTAATTGACCTGCGCGAGCTATTGCTCGTACCACACTTTACTAGAAAACAAATATGATAAAATCCTACTATAATATACAAATAAATCTTACATCACACAATAAGATATTTTACTAAACGTGTTCTTGGCCATCGCGGTGGACAACCTCGGCGACGCGGAGGACATGGATGCGGAGATTACTAAAGAGAAAGAGGTGAGGTTTTGTTTACAGTTGATATATAGTTTTTTGTTATGTTATGTATCTTTGAGGTAATTTTTTGCCGATGAAAAATAATGATGTTTTTTACGAGTAAAAAATATATATTGGTAATATGTTGTTGTAAATTTGTTATGATGATGATTTGAATAGGGTATGTCACTCTCATCCACTAGTAAAAGTCTTTTTAAAAACATTCAAATGTTCGAGAGATTACCGTATTCACACATTTAGATTTTTTTTTCATAGCATCGTACAAATAGCCATGTAATTTTTTCAGTGGTTTTCGCGTGAAAGAGCAACTAATATCCATCCATACATCCATTAGGATTTTTGATTGAAGCAGACCAATATAATAATTCGACCAAAATTATTTCCATTTTTTTTTATAAATTCAATATTTTACTTTATTAATTTACAAATCTAATAATATTTGAGTAAATAATAATAATTGGAATTATGCGTAATTTTTTTTATTTGTTTATTCAATTGCTAACAACGGTATGTATAATGTATATATGTAATTATAAAAAAAATATTGAGCTCCAAAATATTCACATTTGGTATAAAAAATATATAATAATAATTTTGGTATAATACATTGGTCACATTAATAACTACTTTTAAAAAATTCTAAGTCAGAACATTCAGCAATCCACATATGTCGATAAAGATAGGTCAAACGAATGGCTTAGGAGGGGCGAACGCGATACAGGATGAAGTAATTGCCACTCGTAACTACACAAAATATATATTAAAAGATTCCAAACAGATAAACGATTTATGTAGACATTGTAATAGTGCCCCCGAAACAATCCAACACATAACCGGAGCTTGTAGAAGTATTGTACAAACTGATTACAAGCATAGACACGATCAATTAGCGTCAATAATTCACCAACACCTTGCGTATGATTACAAATTTATAAAAAATAAACAGCCATATTATAAATATAAACCCGATTGCGTTTTAGAAACCAGTGACTATAAGCTTTACTGGGATAGGACTATATTAACAGATAAGACAGTACATAATATAAGACCAGACATTACCTTTTATGACAAGAAAAATAAAACAATATTTCTAATAGATATAGCCATTCCTAACACACACGCCACTGTGTCTGAGAAACTGTCGAAATATCTATATCATATCGCTAGGGGTACTTTAAACGCCATTTCGCGCGCTTGGCGTAACGTCACAGTATGATAATACTTTGACGTCACATTCCGTTTAACCAATGGCGTGCGTTTCAACTACTTTGAATTTCCCACCTATATTTTCAATTTATAATAAATATTTTGTTAACAAAAAAGTTACATTAAAAATATTGATATAAGCTTAATTCAAAAGCAATAAAGATAATAAAAAAAAATTTCGCCTTTATTTAAATCACACGCAATATTGTGTGTATATATTTTTTATTATTCCAGGAGGCGGAAAACGCTGAAGCTGGCAACCCACAGCTGGATGAAGAGCGGGGAGAAACAGACGATGAATATGCGAATGAAGAAGAAGGGTATTCTAGCGAAGGGTATGTCATCTAAACTAATCTTATAAATAACTTAAAAAAAGAATTATTAATTACTTATTAATTACATTACAAATGTCATACTTTTATAATTTACATGCAGCCAGAAGTACAAAACATATAAAAGAGTTGCAAGGTAAGTATCAGAACATATTATCATTTTTATGGTATTTATAATGTAATGTAATACGAGTGTTATTTATACAACTACTTAGTATAATATATAAATTTTTAACATGTTGATGTAGAAAATTTGATCTTTCTAGTCTTAATATTATAATCTATATGTATAAAAATCAATTACCGTTCGTTAGTTTCGCTAAAACTCAAAACGGCTGGACAGATTTGATTTTTTTTTATTGGGGGTGTATCAGGGGTGGTTTTAGTATAAAAAGAATAGACAAAACCCAAAAAACTACTGGAAAATTGCAAAGTTCAGAACTATTTATTTTGTACCTATGTGTAATATAATATATAGACTATTCATTCCATACGAACCGTTAAAACGTACCTAGGGACGAGCCCATGCGAAGCGAGGGTTAATCGCTAGTTGTATAATAATATAATCATATAACAATATGTTTAGTATAACATTTTCTTATTATTGCCAATATTATCAATTATACTATACGCAATGTTTATATCAATATGCTAAGGCAATGTATTTGTGTTTTTACTAGGAAAAAAAACCAAAGTCTATTCCACGAATGTTATTAACTTCCGTAATATAATAAATGCTAGTGAAATTACAAGTCATTAAAAATAAGTTATAAAGCATATACGAGTAAGTTATAAAAATAATATTAATTTTTTTTAGGTCAGAACATGAATATGAAGAAACAGGATCTGAAGAAGAAGTGGAAGCTGAACAAGATGAGGCTGACAACGTGAATAATGCTCTAGTACCTGAGGATAAGAAACAAAATGGTATGGTTAATCTGTACAATATAGACATAAATATATACTAATGCAATAGTTTGAGAGTGAGTTAGTGAGTTTCCTACTTATTCACAATGTAACGGCTCGTATGAAGATTTGAGTACAATTCTGAATGAAAGTAGCATATTACTTACTGAACGAAGCCACAAGCAAAAACTAGTATTATTATTAAAGTGAAAATTGGCAAATGACATTTTGTAGATTTTTAATTTATCTATTGATATATTTCGACCGTCAAAAGCAGTAAACACCCCGTGTGCCGTTAGTATGTAGTATGTAGTTCGTATGCACTCTTATGGTGTGGCCCTGTATAATGGGCATACAACCGTTGAGTCTTTGGTCCCCTAGTACTCGTGAGAAATCACCAGATAGATATTATGAGCTAAGGCAGCCAGCCCATTATGTAACGTCACCGCAAGTACCAGGCGATCATAAGCGTTAAGGAGTAAGTGGTTATACCATTAAGGGCAGACGCAGTAGGAACTTTGTTCCTATCTGGTGACCAACCACACCGACCGACTTATTATTGCAATAACAATTAATACTATTTGTATTAAATAATTTAATACAGGTGATATCAAAAAAGAACCATCACCACCAAAACGACAGCCAACAATATCAGCGAGACCGCGACGATTATCTGAAGTAGAGATCAAAAGTCAGGAAAAGCCCATACCAGATGGCAGCAGCTTCTTTGTATTTTCCAAAACTAATTGGTAAGTTTATTATTATCTTTTTCTTTTAAAATAAAACTATCTTTTCGGTTTTTTCACAGATTTATTTTGATTGAGAGGCAGGTCTCTCCAAAAAAAAATAGTAAAATGTTTTAAAACTAAAAATAACAAATATTGTAAGATCTTTTAGTAGGCTCCATTTGTCTGTCTCTTCCGAATTATTGTATTATTTTCTGGATAGATACCTTCTGTAACAAAACTACATATACCTATTATAACTTTTAAAACCTCTAAAATCTCATCTCTCCCGTGACCATGATTGCTGTAAAGCATTTGAAACATCGGGAACCAAAAATAAAAATAAATCCGCAAAAAAACCGAAAAGATAGTTTTATTTTAAAACTAGAATTCTTCACTCGGGTTCGTCCCAGGTTGCGGCCCCATGCAAACTTTCAACCCCATATTCACGCCCTTAAGGGATGATTTCCGGGATAAAAACTATCCGATGTCCTTCCCATAATAATAGTAGATACCTAACTCGCCAGCGGCACCAACAGTGCTACCAGAAACAATAGCCCTCATCATCATGATTACCTACAACTAAAGATTTATTATATGTGATGAGTTTAGAATTATTTTTAATAAAACTATCTTTTCGGATATATATTTCGCGGACTTCCTTTGATTTTTGGTTCCTGGAAATCAAAATAAATCCGCCAAATAATTCGAAATGATAGTTTTATTTAAAATATCAAATATTTGCGTAAATCTAAGAAACTATTATTGAGTTTTAGATTAATAATTATAATACGGTTATTGACAAACATTTCTTCATATCCATAACTCAAAAGGCCATATTAAAAATAGTATCATGTAATATTATTCATCAGGTTCCGAGTAACATGTTACAAGACACAGAACAACTCCTGGTTCAAGAACATGATCCTGCTCTGCATCCTGGCGTCGTCGCTCATGCTGGCGATGGAGGACCCAGTTGGGGGGAAGGGCAGTGAGGCCTGGAGTGAGGTATGACATGTGCATGGAAAATGTTTACTATGAAATATTTTTTAACCGACTGTGCCAGAAGGAGGGTTATGTTTTTCGAGTATGTATATATGAATGTATGTATATTTTTTGTCACGTTCTGTGTGTGTCTGAGAGAGAAAGACATACAAACACGCAGCTATTATGAAATGTACATACATACGAGTATGTATGTCTCCGGCTACATAATACTACGCTCCTTTATCAATAATTCTTATTTAATAAATTATTTGAATGCTATTTAATGTTTGTTTCAGACCCTCCGTAAAATCGATTACTTCTTCACAGCAATGTTCACTATCGAGCTGCTCTTAAAGCTCATTACTTACGGCTTCATTTTGCACAAAGACGCATTCTGCAGATCTGCCTTTAACTTACTAGATTTACTTGTGGTCATCGTCTCTCTTATATCGGCTAGTGGGTGAGTATGATTTTTATTTATTTAAGAAATGGGTATGTGTATTTATATGATATTTGCACTGAACGCCAATGTAATAATTTTCTGGTAATTTGTTGTCGGTCTATTTTAAGCGAGACATTTATTTGACGTTTATTATAGATTTCTCAGAGATGAGATATTTTCTCGCAGTAAAAATTATCTTATATGTTGATCCGAATAACCAGCTATTATCATACCAAATTTCATCAAATTTGTCCAATTGTTTTCTCGTGATGCGTTTACAGACAGACAGACAGACAAAAATTCTCATGTCTATAGATGTCTCTGTGTCGATAATAATGACTATTTTAATAATATTTTTCAAAAAATATTTAATGTACAAATTCGACTTAGTTAAAATTTTATTATATGTAAAGATAAAGCAAACATATTGAAATTACAAAAATATTAAATTATAGATATGAAACAAATATACACTTAATTTTTACTACACGAGTCATGTCCTCATGGAGTAACATATAGGCTTTCACTTAACTATCGGACTGAGAGCAACAGGATGATTTAGAACGGCACTTTAGGTTTTCTGTTATCGATTATAAATAAAAACAGATTTTTATTTAAATGGGTCTGGTACTAAGTATCGAATCTGAGCTCTTCATCCGGTGCTTTTATACCAGACAGGATGATATTGAATGAATTTTGTTTTTATATCATAGGTTATTTAAATAAATTAAAAATATTTCTAGTATTTATTTTTATCATACATCTTTATGTACAAATCTCATATTTAATGTAAGATAAGATGGGTTTAATATTCCATAAGGATAAAAACCTTTAAATAAAAAGGTATTAAAAAAAAGTAAAATTATTACTTGTTAATACAATCAAGGAGATCATTATAAGGAAATCCGAAAACCCGTTTTCTTATATCGAAGAAAATTATTTACATGTTAGAAATTTTAATATATGTATTTCTTTAATTTTATCCTTTTTAACAGATCTAGTAACGTGTCTTTCATAAAAATTTTGAGAGTATTCAGAGTGTTGAGGCCTCTCAGAGCTATCAACCGAGCGAAGGGACTCAAGGTCAGTTTTATTATTTACAATATATTATAGACGACTGTGAAATTAAATAAAATCTTATACATATTGGCAATAATGTTATTTATATTTTCATTAACGTGTTATAAATGATTGTTTTCTTTTGAATTTCGAGATTTTTCATGGATTTTTAAGTACAGTAAAATAGAATTAAAATAATTGTTTGTAAAAGTAATCACACATTGGGCGCCATTTTTTGTAGCTTTAAATGCTCTTTTGAAAAAACAAAACTACGAAATATTTCTTTTTTGTGTATGTTTTGTTAATATTCCGTACATCTGATGAAAACGGAATCCTTATATTAAACTGTCTGTCTGTTTTTTATCTTTCACAGCATATTCGTACATGCCGGTCATGGAAAGCATGAATTTTTCATATATTACATTGTATATAGTGGTTAAATACTACTCAATTATGAACATACATATTTATTAGAGATTCTAATTTTTTATTATAACCAAAAAAGCCTCTTTTTTCGTAATTAATTGAATTAATGACAAAATAAAAAATTTAAATACATTTTTTTATATAGAGATTTTATTTAATATATCACAGTTACTCCAGTAATTAATAGAAAATTCTAGAACCAGTTAGTAATACTTAGATATTTTCGGTTTTTTAGCACGTAGTTCAGTGCGTGATCGTTGCTATTAAAACGATAGGCAACATTTTATTGGTGACAAATCTACTACAATTCATGTTTGCGGTTATGGGGGTGCAAATGTTCAAGGTAGGGTGATTTTATACAAATATATAGAAATACATACATATATATTTTTAAACCAACGACACCTTTGGGTATTTCAAATGTAATATTAATAAAAGTAAGTATATCGCGTTTCGCTATTTGCACTTCCTACATTTCTTGCACAATAATTTTGTGTGAAAATCATCTGATTTCGTTTCTTTGTGTGCTTTCGTGTATGGGATTATACTAACATTAAAATTTTGCTTAATGGTGGCCTTGGATCAATATTAGCTTCATAGAGCATGTTTTTTTTGTTTTATCCGTAGCTATAAGTTTTAGCCCAAAGGTGTTGTGTGCCATTGTTATGAAAACCCCCCTTTTTGTGTTTTTTTTTGAAGTGAAACCAAAGCTTTGTGTTTCTTTTGCACCAAAACCCCCTACCTGGACATTTTCACTCGAAAACTAGGAGTGAGGTACATGAAATATATTATTTTGGTTCCTTTTGGTTCTTTTATGTGGTTTTGATTTTATACAGTCAGATCAGGACACTGGCAGTTTTTGATTTTTTTTAATATTCAATATTGAATAACTAACGCCATGTAATTAGGCTATGTTTTATTTTTTTCCCCGCATTTTAACATTTTCTTTTTTTTTACACCAAAAATGTCACGCAACATGTACACAACTACACGATTTGGGACTCATTGATCACTGATGCGGTAACGTAATTGTTTGTGTATTTTTAACATATGTGTTTGTGTGTATTGTGTTAACAGTATGTGGTTAAATGTGTTTTCGCTTCAATAAAGTCCATTGGAAATATATTGATAATAAATCACATGTTGCAATTTATGTTCGCTGTACTCGGCATACAGCTGTTTAAGGTACAATCAAAATGTTTTTTTTTCTTGAAATACATCGATCAAAAAGTAACTAACTAGATACACAATCCCATGCAAAAATCTCTTATTAATAATTGTGTTTAGGTAATTATTCTAGTTGAAATAAATATATAACAATGTAAATTAAACCTTAAATGCTGTGTTTAAAGTTGTTTTCATAAAAAATAAATAAGTCAAAACTTCAGTCAAATCTTCAAATAAGCGCTCATTCGGTGATGATATTTTTTGTCGCTGATTGTGTATCTAATATTTTTTGATCAATGTTGAAATATGATAATGAAAACAAATCCACTAGATAATAAAACTTGTGCTGGAATAGAAAGTACACATACAAATAAAGCTATTTTTTTCGGATTTTTCGATGAATAATTTTTATTTTAGTTTTTCTACGCTTCGAATACTTTACGGCTAATATGGATGCGGGACAGATTAAGGTTTTTGACGTCTTAAAAAACATAGTTATTATAAATGGTACCTACCTACTATGACGTTGTCTATCTCCCGCATCTTAACATTTCAAAACGTCGCGAAAAACCAAATTGATCGCGAAAAAATAGTTTTATTTAAAATTCCAAGTATTCGCGTGAGTCTAAGAAAGTATATTTATTTCTGTAAAGCTATTAGAGCTTTGTTTGCTTACATCGATGTATTTGTGCAGTATTATGAATATTATATTCTCTTTTAATTTCTGCTTAGCTTTCCAATTTTGAGGCGAGATCAGGTGATTTTATTATATTTAAAGTTATATTTACGAACATATTTGTATTGATTTTAACGGAGTTTACTTTCAGGGCAAATTCTATAGATGCACAGATATTACGAAGATGACAAGTGTGGAATGCCAGTAAGTAATATAGATTTTTATTAAATATGTCTAAAACAGTAAGATATACAGAGTGTACAATAAATCGAAACAAAGCAGAAATAGTAAAGGAACTTTATTGGTAGCATATAAATATAATACTATTTTTCTGCACTCATTTTCTGTGGTCGTCACGCTCTATGTACCAGTAACTTATTCTTTTAGACTGGACTGGAGTACATTAAGATATTGATTTAGTTTGAAATATTAAAAAGCTAAACCAACAACTGCAGAGTACAACATCGCAAGAAAGTGTTGTGGTAATTTTTATTCCAATACCATATTCCACCACCTTTTTTTTTAATGTTGGGAAATGCATTTACGCATACCTCCTGTACACATACATGTGGTTATGTGAGGTTCACCAGCTAAAAAAGCCAGTACTACCCAGTACCCAACAGAACCTCCCTCGTCTTAATGGGGCGTCGCAGGATTGCTTACGCACCCAACCACGACTTTGCCGAAGCATACCACAACAGCCATGGGGTTGCTCCACAGTCCACTCTGCTATCAGAGAAGTACCAGGAGCAACTCACAATCATATTCCATTGCCTTATGATGATCACTAACCAACCAATATAACTATGGTTTTTGTAGTCTTTCTGACTGTCCCAATTTTTTTGTCTGTTATGTTTCTCTACATAAAATATTGCAAACCTTTGTTAAATCACAAAAAAATGATCATATATGCGAAATTACAGGCTAGTTAGTAAAATTCTATAAAACTTCCAGAGGATCATATCTAGTGTATGAAAATGGAGAATTAGAGATAAAAGACCGAGAGTGGGTAAAGAACAAGTTCAATTTCGACAACGTCCTCAGCGGCATGCTGACGCTATTCACTGTTTCCACTTTTGAGGGATGGCCGGGGTGAGATGGAAACTTATATTAATAGTTAATTCCTTTCTAAGCTAATATTATTAACATTTAGTGTAATACTGAAAAAAAAACAAAAATTGCTTATAAAAGTTGTGATTTGTAGGAAAGGTGTAAGTGTGATTTTTTATCCTCGCAATCATCGATCAAAAAAGTACTAGATACACAATCAGCGTCAAAAAATGTTTATATTATTGCGCAGGCGTGTTATCCCGTTTGCATACATGGCCTCTCTGTTCTTTTCACTCTCAAATGCAATGTGACACAAAGAGCGAGAGAGAATGACTGCAAAACTTTCCAACCCCCTCTGAAGATTTCTTGATAGAAAACCTAAACTTTCTTAACTTAAAGCTTCATCAAACGGGAGTACATATACCACTTTATGTATATATGTATATATTTTTTAAATTTCAGGTTATTATCTGTCTCCATGGATTCAAATAAAGAGAGACACGGCCCCGTAGAGAATTCCAGACCACTTGTTGCATTTTTCTATATAAGTTACATTATTGTTATAGCGTTCTTTATGGTGAGTTTGTTCTTCTGTTTTATTTTTTCCCCCAAATACTTTTATAAGCAATGACAAGATCTTTTAATTACAAATCAAAGTGTGATATTATAACTGTTGTTATGTTAATTTTAAATTAATTCAATCTTTTCTTTATTTAACTTAAGATTTTTAGGGAAACTAGTGGCTTACCTTCTCTTTGCTCCGGTGCGTGTGTAAGGTTCTTTTGCAATTATAATATTCCCACACTAACTTCCTTTGATCTTCATTATGAAATATTACTCTTTATCTATACTAATATTATAAAGAGGTAAAGTTTGTGATATTTTAAGTTTGTGAGTTTGTGATGGTGTAGGGGGTAATCTCTGGATCTACTGAACCGATTTTCAAAATTCTTTTACCAATAGAAATCCACGTTCTTTTTGAGTGTCATATGCTATATATTAACTCGAAGAATAAAAAGACTTTTTCATGGTAGTCGGATTTGCAAAGTAAGTCGGAGAAAAAACGGTCCAACGAAAACGTTTCTTACGAACGCTGCCTTAACGATGAGAGGTATATGATTATGTTCTAGAGAAAGGTTGTAGAGCTTAATAATGCCTACAAAAAAGTCAGCGACAGCATATGTCTAACTTTTATATTTAAGTCACAAAAAGTAGTTGTTTATATAAAAAAAATAATTTAAATCGGTAGGTCATGTTTATTAGTCATATTATCAACAATTCTGAATTCTTATCAAAATAAGTAAATTTAACGTCTAAAATGTTTAAAACAAAAGACTTTTCCTTTTTACTGCATATAATTGGGACAAATGGTTAAAGAGATAATGCTACATATTCGTAGGTATGGAACCGCGACCGTGTCGTAATCTATTGAGTGATATTTCTATAAAATGTTTTTTTTTTCATATACAATACTATCTATACTAATATTATGAAGATGTAAAGTTTATGAGTTTGTGAATTGTAAGTTTGTGATGTTGTAGGGGGTAATCTCTGGATCTACCAAACCGATTTAAATGAAATTTGGTAATAAGATAGTTTTAGACCCTGGGAAGGACATAGGATATATTTATCCCGGAAACCTATATATTATATATTTTTATATGTTTATCCCGGACTCATCCCTTAAGGGGATGAAAGTTTGTATGGGAAAGCAAGCTATAAAAATAATTAACTCATATTTGTCTCTAAAAGCAAAAAAACATACAGCGTTCATATTTTCATTTCATCCCCTTTAAATTTAAATTTTCGCTACAAAAAAGTCTTATGTGCTTTTCCAAGGCCCCATCTATCTCTATATCAAAATTCATCAAAATTGGTTCAGCGGTTTAGATGTGAAAATGTAGCCGACAAACAGACACCGTTACTTTCGTAGTTATAATAATTTTATTAGATTTTATTAGATTACTAGCAGAACCCGCGGCTTCGCTCGCGCTAAAACATAAATAATGCGTACAAAGGTAGTTTCATACAAACTTATATCCTCTATTTTACCCCCTTATAAGGATGAATTTAAAAAAATGCTGAAACACGTATTTATTTATTTTTTTGAATAGCATATAAGCCAAGTTTTAAGTAATTCTGATCATAAATATTTTTTTGGATTGTATTTTAATGTGTTTTCCTGTGGGAATTAGATAATCTCCCGCGGTAAAAGTAGCCTATGACACTCTCCAGCCCTCCAACTATCTTCACACAAAAAATCACGTCAATCTGTCACTCCGTTATCGTCACTATTTATGATTATTAGATACTAATTTAATTAGACTTTGTTAAACGTTTTTCTATTGATATTGCGTATATTTGATGGTAATTATTTGGACACTACCTATTACGCTAAGATCGCCGGTTCGATTTCGATACGACGTAAGTATTTGCATTGGCCAAACAGATGTTTGATCCGGGATTGGTTTGAGACTTTTGAGAAATATGAAGATAGAAAAATATAAATTATCTAACGAAATACTTTAATAAAAATGGATTCTAGTCATTTTAAATTGTTAAACTATTGAATGCAATTGTCGATTTTCAGGTAAATATTTTCGTAGGTTTTGTCATAGTTACGTTCCAGAAGGAAGGAGAACAAGAGTTTAAAGACTGTGAACTTGACAAGAATCAAAGAAACTGTATTGAATTTGCATTAAAAGCAAAACCAGTTAGAAGGTACAGAATATATGTTTATTTATTAATATACCGATATCACATTTATCAGTATTATTTTACTTATTACTATCACTTTTTTATATTAATTTCTTTTCTCTAAATACAACTACTTTTTCGGATCTTTTCGCGGACTTATTTTGATTTTTGGTTCCTGACGTTTCGAATGCTTAACAGAAGTCACGGTCACGGGAGAGACTAAGGTTTTAGACGCCTCAAAGGCGTTATATACTTGTTACAGGCAGCCCCCGTGACCATGATCCTAAAATATAGTTTTATGTAAAATGTCAAATATTCACGTAAACCTAAGAGAGCTACTTGAAACCTAAAACCAAAATTCCTAATTTCTTTCCCCAGATACATTCCAAAGCGTCGCATCCAGTACAAGACGTGGTGGTTCGTGACGTCACAACGCTTCGAGTATGTCATATTCTTCTTCATAGTCCTTAACACTGTGGCCCTCATGATGAAGTATCATGATGCTAAATATGAATATAAGAGGGTAAGTAAATATAATATATATACCTATAGACAAAAAAGTGTTAAAAATCATATTTTCCATACAATTTGTATGGGAAAACTTAAAGTTCGATGGAGAACCTCTTAGAATTGGAATTTTGAGCTCCGCTTTTAACAGGAGCTTTGTTGGGACATTTTCTAAGATATTTTGGGGTGAGAGCGAAGAAAAAAAAATATCGTCATTTTTTGGCACACCCTAATATATATATTGAGAAACATTAGTTTTACATAGGTAACATTGTAAACAGGCAGCTATATAGGTATATATGAATAACGGGGGTAACTTATATAAAAATAAAATGTATTTTGCGAGTAGTACACACAAACTATTTTATCGATTAGAACTCGGAATTAGAATATTGGAGGATAATAAGTGGATTTAAGTATAAATTTATTTTACTGTCATAAAATATGTTGTTAATTCAATTCAAATTATGATACTAAGTTTTAACTTTAAATTAGTAATCAATACTTACATTTAGTATAGATTTCTCAGAGAAGAGATATTTTCCCGCAGAAAGAAGTATCCTATATGTTGGCCCGGATAACCAGCTATCGTATTATAAAATTGTAACTAAGTCCAATCTGTACATCAAATATTTTTTGGAAAATGTTATTGGAATAGATATTATTATCGATACAGAGGCTGAATCTATAGTTTTTAGATTTTTTGTCTGTCTGTAAGTAGCTAGATTATAATCGTGTCTTATTTTTGTTTACAGGCTCTAGATTATCTAAATATGTTGCTAACAACAGTGTTTATGTTGGAATTCGTGTTCAAACTTGCTGCGTTCAGATTTAAGGTTAAAATATGATTTATTTTTTTACTTTTAAACTAATTATACCCCACATGTTATACAGTCATTTGTTAGTAAAATACAACGATATTCCAGACACATTTTGCTACTGTCAAGAGAAGTTTAAGCGAACTTGTTATTTTGATTTTCAACTAATCCCAGATTTTTTAATATTAAATGAGCATAATACTTTCTTAGATTTACGCGAATATTTGACATTTTAAATAAAACTATCTTTTCGGATTTGGTCGCGGATTTAAGGGAAACAAAAATGCAAATAAATCCGCGACAAAATCCGAAAAGACAGTTTTATTTAAAATTAAATGAGCAATTCTTGTAAATTTATATAACCTACGTTAGTTAATAAGTACTATAGTATTATATGATCTGTGATAAAGGTGTATTTTCTGAAAAAATGTGATCTTTCATAAATTCACAAAAAAAATATAACTAATTATATATTTTAGCCTTTCCTATCTGCTCTCATGCCAATAATGTCATATAACGCCATCTTATAAATGGAAGTAGTTATGCAAAATGGATCCAGCCCACGAAAACCGTGTTATAGTCTACAGAAAGTAGATAAAATACCCAATATTTCAGAGGAATTCAAAAAAAATACGGTCTCGTTAGTTTGATATACCTATAATTTCATTAAAACTCCTATTTTCCTAAAAGTAAGTTTTTGCGTTTGGATCTATTTTGCGTAAATACGTCCAAATGTTAGTGGTACTTGCATTGTCGCCAATGGATGATAACCTACTGAACGAGCGCATATTTGTCCAGATACTAAAAATTGTGCTTAGAAAACTTTTTTAATTTACAGAACTATTTCGGAGACGCTTGGAACACTACAGACTTCATCCTTGTAGTTGGTAGTATTATAGATATAGTTGTGACCCAGGTTAATGAGAACAAACCAATAGATGTGAGTATAATATATTTATTTATTAATCTATACATCTATAGAAATAAATAAAATTGATGTGTCTATTTGTAATGTCAACAGACATTGTCAGTGACTCTACTCACTGTGCCAGCGGTCGCAGGTTCGAGTTCCGCCGGGGGCATACATTTGTGTGATGAGCGCGAATGTTTGTACTCCAGTCATGAGTGTTTATATTTAAATACGTTTATATTTAAAGTTACATATTATGTGTAGTGTATCAACTATCTGGTATCCATAACACAAGCCTCGTAACTTACCATGGAACTAGATGGTGCTGTATAGTAATGTCCCAACATATTTATGTTTATACTTTTTTATTTGCAGACTATGGAGTACCCAATCAAGATATCACCAGAACAGCATAAAGAGGTTAGTTTTATGTGAGAAGGAATATTATTATTTTTTAAGTAGCGAAGCATAATCAACCTTATGTATAAGGATAGAAGACACTAAAAACAAAAAATAGTATCTTAGATACTATGGCAATATTGGTGACTTAAAGTTCAATATTTTGACATATTTGGAAAAAATAAAGATCGCTCGGTGTCATTACATCATAATATATGTATTCAGCCCTTTTTAAAGTCCCACTGCTGGGCACGGGCCTCAATTTACTACGTGGGGAATCAGGCCATAGTTCACCACGCTAGCCAAGTGCGGGTTGATTTCACATGTCTTTTGAAAACTCTAGGCTCTATCAGACATGCAGGTTTCCTCACGATGTTTTCGTTCACCGTAAGACAAATAGTAATCATATTGGAAATGATTCGCACATGAAAATGTGTGTGAAGTGGGGTGGGTTCAAATGAACCTGCTTCACTTGGATTCCCAAGTGATTGTCTTACCACTGGGCTACCACTGAACTACCACTGAACTACCACTGCCTATATATAATAATAATTACACTACGGGACGTAAACGCGTTATATCGTTAGTGGCTAATGGCTATATAATGATATATTTATTATTTCCGACACAAACGAGCCGTCGAATCTATAATGTCATATAGCCGTTGTTAACCACTAACAAACTCACGCGTTTAAGTGTTATTATTATAATATAATTATGGAATATATACACTTATACATACTCTTCATTCACCAGAGCTCTTCAAACCTTTTAAAATACATAACATTCTTCCGTCTCTTCCGAGCGATGCGTCTCATCAAGCTGCTGTCCCGTGGCGAGCGGATACGGACTTTGCTTTGGACTTTCATAAAGTCCTTCCAAGCTTTACCATATGTGGCCTTGCTCATTGTTCTACTGTTCTTCATCTACGCTGTGGTTGGGATGCAGGTAATATATACATGTTTTTGTATGTGTTTTTAACTAATAGATACTTTCTTAGATGTACGCGATTTGACATTTTATATTATAAACTATCTTTACGGATTTGCTCCGCGGATTTATTTTAATTTTTGATTCTCGACGTTTCGAATGCTTTACAGCAATTAATTAATAAAGTTTTCTAAGAAATTATAATAATTATAATAATAACAGCTAAAATTAAATAAATGATATTCCACATTATTCAATTATAAAATTTATTATAATTATAAAAATGTTTAAAATTAACAAATATTGTAAGTTACTTTGTTGCCATATTTCCCATGCTGACGTTTCGAACGTCGGGAACCAACAACAAAATTAATCCGCGATTTTTTTTTATTTAAAATTGTTTATTTTTTCTATAAATTATTTTTATAATAATTATTTTTATATTATATTAATAAATCATAATTATTACAGCTATTTGGTAGAATACGGGAAGATGACGAGATTATAACGCCAAACAATAACTTCCAAACGTTCGGCGGCGCCTTGATGGTTTTGTTTAGATCAGCTACGGGTGAGCTTAGCTTTTTTTTAATGAAATTTGACATTACATTTGTTATAGAAAAGAGTAAAGGATTATATAGGATATTATATAGAAGGAGCCAAATGCTAAAGCTAGTAAAGATGTTGAAATAAAAATTTTAAAGACTGTGGATAAGTGCTTGTGTCACAGCGCAATTTCTAAATGGGCCGTTATAATATTTTTTCAAAATTGTAATCTTGGGATTTTTAAGCAATTTTAATCAATACTTATAATTTCAGGTTTTGTTATCAACATCGATAATTTAATTTTTTCAGGGAATTTATCCAGGAATGCGTCTGGGTAAAATTCTTGGTCCAATGTAATTTGAACAGAAATGTTTTATGAATTTATCAAATATAGTACTTACTTTAGAGTTTCGTTGGACTGACAAATGAAAAAACTACTTATTTAAGTAAAATTGTATAATTTGACAACATTTTGGCAAATATATTAGAACAATGAGAAATTTTATGTATGCCGTGACCCTAAATATTTGCAACGTATTTCATTTTTGCCCATATATATGTGGGATGAATATGGTAAATAGTAATATCTTATCTGTGAAGTGTGAGTGAGAGAAAGAACGAGTGAAAGGGACAGAATGTGTCCTGCCATGATTGATTTTAGAATAAGATTTGATTTAAACTAGCAATTATTGTATATTTATTTATTTATTTATACCGGGGATCTCTGAAACGGCTCTAACGATTTCGCTGAAATTAGGTACGTGGGAGTTATCGGGGGTGAAAAATCGATCTGGATTAGTCTTATGTTATGGAAAATGCGTGTTTTAGAGTTTTCATGCGGTTTTCTTTCGCATTATTCCATGCGAGATATGTTCGATAATTTCGCACGCTCGGGCATTAGCATCGTGGTCAAGCGGCCAAGGCGTAAAATTTGCTATTATAGGTGTCCGGTTTCGAATCCCGGTTCTTCTTAGAAAAAAAGAAAATTGCACTTTTGGCCAAAAACTCCGAACGAAGCTCGGTCGCCCAGGTGCTGTATATAATCTTCCATTCACCCCCATAGGAGAAGCTTGGCAAGAGATAATGATGGCACTCTCCCCCAACGACGACGAGCACCCCGGCGAGCCCGTCGGCTGCATCAACCCCGCCGACGGCGAGGAGTCCTGCGGCTCCAGGCTTGCCTTCCCTTATTTTATATCTTTTTCCCTACTTTGCACGTTTTTGGTGAGTTTAAGTTTTAAACTATAACGGGCTACATTGGATAACGATTGGTTTTAATAAAGGAAAAATTCCAAAAAATTAAAAAAGTTGAAAATTAAAGTTAAACAGATTTCCTACAAAGTACAGAACCCTCGGTGGGCGAGTCCGAGTCGCACTTGTCCGAAAAAAATTTTGTATACCAATATATCGGTTTCTTATGCAATATTGTCAATTATGAAACAAAATATTTTTAATTATTAAGCTATATTTCAACAGTTATATGTAAATTAAAAGTTAACTTACACACCTTAGAGTAGAATTTCTTTAGAAGTCGTTTTAGTTATAAAGCGAGATATCTGAATTTCTTTTATTTAGATCATCAACCTCTTCGTGGCAGTCATTATGGATAACTTCGATTACCTGACTCGGGATTGGTCCATTCTTGGGCCGCATCATTTGGATGAATTTGTGAGGTACGATCAAAATATTGGATCGGAAATTTAAAGTACACTTAATAATAAGTGCTACGTTTTAGAGGGATATGCTCATGTTCTTGAGGAATTGCAGCATGAATGCTAGCTGAAATCCTCCTGTAGCCTTCTCTTTTCTTTTCTCTTTTTTTTATTTCTGCTATTAATTATTCAGTTACGTTCATGAAATTTAATAATCAGCCAAGAATATCATAATTTTATTATCATAGTTCTATTTAAAATTTTAGGTTATGGAGTGAATACGATCCAGATGCGAAAGGCAGGATTAAACACCTGGATGTTGTTACGTTGCTAAGGAAGATAAGTCCACCGTTAGGTATGATATACATTTATCCCAAAAAAAATTCAAGATATATCCCCTTGTTACATGTACAAAGTGTAATGTCTGGCCACAGTCTAATAATCTATACAGTCGTCTAAATACGTGGAGACGCGAGTGAGGCACTGCCGACTGGCATACTTAGTTTTATATGTCAGTCGAGTGATGGCTTTAGGGTGTAAAATTTCATCTGTAAATTGCTACGGGATGGCACTACAGATCCTTAAGTTCAAAATTGTTCGAAACCGTGAAAATTGGTATTTTTCGTAACTCTTGCTTTTGTTAGCTTTTGTTATTATTTTTGATTATATCACTTACTGTATGGCTTTTAATACTGTGAATTTGTTGAATATATTGATTTTGGACTTAAAATTACTCTTTTTTCTAGGTTTTGGTAAACTCTGTCCTCATCGTACCGCGTGTAAGCGTCTCGTCTCCATGAACATGCCGCTCAACTCTGATGGAACAGTTAACTTTAACGCGACGCTATTTGCCGTTGTTAGAACGCAATTACAGATTAAAACTTCAGGTCAGTATAAGATTTCTTTACAAAGAGATACATATAAAAAATAATCTTTAGTTAAATCTTTATTCATTAGTATTATAAAGCTGAAGATTGGTTTGCTTTTGATCTTAAAAAGGGATGTATGTGTAAGTTATACGATATCATTGCTAATTGTGATCGATTTTCATAATTATTTTCTTACTGAATCGGTTATACTTGAAGTGTGGTTTCATATACCTACGTACATTTTAAAAGTTGTACATCAGTTTATTTGTAAATAATTTATGATTTTGTTTGCGCTAAATTCCGGAACTGACTGTCGTTCTATGTTGTATCTTAGGCTCGTAGGCTTAATAAAATCTTTTTCTCTCTTCTACTAAAAGTTACGTTTTAATTCCAATCCAACAAAAAAATGTCTAAAAATCAACTACTTTTTAAATACAACTATCTTTTCGACACCCATCTCTTCCATGACTATGTTTACTGTAAAGCATTCGAAACGTTGAGATCAAAACAGTAAAATAAATCCGCGAAAAAGTCCGAAAAGATAGTTTTCTGTAAAATGTCAAATATATGCATAAATCTAAGAAAGTATTAAATCAATTACTTCTCTTCAATTAATATCCATTCACACCAAAACAGGAGTGATCGACGAATGCAACACAGAACTGCGAGCCATCATCAAGAAGGTGTGGAAGCGCACGTCGCCCAAGCTGCTGGACCAGGTGGTGCCGCCGCCCGGCGACCCCAACGAGATCACCGTCGGCAAGTTCTACGCCACCTTCCTCATACAGGACTACTTCAGGAGGTGAGTGTCTCACACTTTGGTATTCTCTGACATTATAGTTTTTAGGCGGTGAGTCTCTCAAAGTTTGATATTCTCTGATAAATAGTCTTTAGGCGGTGAGTCTTTCAAACTTTGAAGTTCTCTGACATCTCATCATATTATAATTTTTTTATTGATGTGCCTCCGGAAAACATACAGCATTGTATATGAAGAAGCAGTGTATAATTTGCCATTTATTTACGGTCTGTGGAATATGTCATCTACTTTTCAACTACCCTATACTAAATTTTAAATTGACGGTAGTAGAAAATCCAGCTAGGACACGGCAAAACGTTGTCACTTTGAATATCATAGCGTTGTGTACTTTCGCCGCGTGCGGTCGAAATCCAAAAATATTAGAATAATCCGTTAAATATTTTGAGAAATAATTTTACTAAGTGTTAGCATAACTAATATTACATCAATATCTATCTGTATTTTTGTGTTTGTGCGGGTTCTTATACCGGAAGTGTATCGTAATGAATCGCGCGCCTAGCGAGGTCGATGAAGCCATCGAGGCAAACCGACCTATCGTTTCTAATTCACCGACGATCGAGAGGGAAAGGCAAGAGAGAGAGGACTCTTCCGGTTCCAGCAGTTCGTCAAGCAGCGAACCTGAAGAAGAGGAACCTCCGCGCAAGAAATCAAAACGAGATGCTCAGGTAACGGTCGATCTCCGGATCGACGCGTTATACGAACAGGTCAGTTTCCTTACAAATTTAATTATGCATCAGCAATGTGCGTCATCATCAAATACAAATGTGACCGCGAAAACCACTGACGTGATTGAACAACCTGAACAGAATAATGATGATTTCTTGACCAATCCTTGCTCTATTACACTAAAATCATTAGATTTAGGTTTTTGTAAAACTGATTTTGATGAGAAAAAAGTTCTTAAACCAGCCGATGAACAACGTTTAAACCAGTTGATAAAATTGCAACATTTTAATTCATCTACGTGGCAACACATTCGGTATAAAAAAGCATTGACAGACATGCTTGCGTTCCCAGGCTTTTGTAACTTAAAAATTAATGACGAAATATGTTGTTTAAATAAGGGCAAAGATTTCCTGGCCTCAACGGAGGAAATTATGGCTGCAATTACCAATGCTTTACTATACCAAAGGCAATTGCTACAATCAGGTTTACAAGAAATTGTTAATTGGTCTCACAATAATCCTACGGAACTAACCTCTAATAACCTTTTTAATAAAATAAGCGAAATTTTCGGTAATTCGTCGCCATCTTATAAATTATCTGAACAAACATTACAAATCGTCTGCGGCAAACGAGCGGAGTGTATAGAAACTAGGCGTAAAAGATTAATTAGCGAAATTTCTGATAAAAGTATTCAAGCCGCTCTCGTTAACATACCTCCCAGCGAGGAATTTCTATTCGAGAAGGCACAATTGATGTCGCTGGTGCAATCCCTCGGCGGGCCTCATTATTGGTTATCACCCCCACAAATCTCTAAAAATAGGGACCAAGTAAAAAGGAAATAACATGAATCCATACCATCAACATCCAAATCTAGGCCACAAGAACAAGATAAAAATTATTTTCAAAATACCTACAAAAAATTAAACACTAAAAAAACGTACAAAGGAAAGACTGATGCTTACAAACAACAAGGAAACCCGTCCTTTCGAAGCAAAAACAAGAAAATATGACTATCTAATACCATTCAGGGGCGGTCGTCTAAAGACGTTCAAAAACCGTTGGCAGGCACTTGGCGCGAACAAATTTATAATATCGGCAATAACTGGTTTTCGAATACCGTTTTACAAGAAACCTCCTCTAATAATGCCAACAAGGCTTGTTATGAGTCGGTTTGCAACCAAACCGTCGCCGGCCATGACTCAAATAATGCAAGACCTCTTGGATCAAAAAATACTGCAGCCTGTTACAAAAGAAACGCCCAGTTTTATCTCCAAGCTATTTCTGCGGAAGAAAAGCGACGGATCGATGCGACCTATTTTCGATCTACGAGAATTAAACAAATTCGTAAAGATAAAGCATTTTCGCCTTATTTCTCACAGTTCAGTGCCAGATTTTCTCCAACCGGGAGACTGGATGATAAAATTAGACATTTCTCAGGCATACTTTCATGTAGCTGCAGCAAAATCTCACTGCCCATTCCTTCGAATCAGTTACCTAGGTCAGCTGTACGAGATGACCTGTCTACCTTTTGGCCTGGCATCAGCGCCACATCTCTTTTCGTCCATAACATGCTGGGTCGCGGAGACCCTGCGTGCCAAGGGATGTCGTGTACTAGTCTACCTAGACGACTACCTTCTGGTCAACCAAGACCAATCCAAGTTATGTCTTCAGGCCTCGACGGCCGTGAGGCACTTGTAATATCTGGGCTGGAGCCTCAATTACCAAAAATCTATCTTGACTCCGACTCAAGACCTAGAATATCTTGGTATCCGCTGGCAAACCGCCAGGAACAGAATGTCATTACCAGAAAAGAGGATACAGAATCTCAAAGCAACCATAGATCGTTCGTTACTAAGAGGCCATATCACGCTTCGCGAACTACAGAGCCTACTGGGACAGCTAAATTTCGCCAGCTTTGTCATACCCCGAGGCAGGTTACATTGTCGGAAAGCACAAATCTTTCTTCGGCATTTCAACAAGAGGCAACCACGACAGAGACAACTAATTCCCGAAACGGTATATCAAGAGATGAGGTGGTGGCTCGGCGCCACACGTCACTCTTCGCTAATACACAAAAAGCCGGTTACTCATTTCCTAGCGACGGACGCTTCGGATCTGGGTTGGGGTGCTCATCTAAATGGGCATCTAATGTTGGGGACGTGGTCTCGTCAGCAACAAAAATGGCACAGCAACAAAAAAGAGCTTTATGCAGTAATGGCAGCGATCAGAACAAACGCTGCAGCGTTAAGCCAATCCCTTGTACTCATCCAATCGGACAATCGAACTTTAATTGCGTATATTCGAAAAGAGGGCGGAACGAGATCGTTGACACTACTAAGTTTGACTTACAAACTACTGACCCTAACAGACAAGTTCAAGATAACTCTTTCGGCACATTATCTACCAGGGAGGTACAACACAATTGCAGACAGATTGTCACGAGGGAAAGAGGTTGCGGAATGGCATCTCTTACCACAAGCAACTGGAGAAGTCTTCCGGAAATGGGGTCGACCGGAAATAGATCTCTTTGCTTCACAACGAAGTGCTGTAGTAAAAAACTACGTATCAATAGATTGCAGAGATCGATCAGCAAGTTATATAGACGCCTTCAGCAGACCTTGGCAATACCAACTAGCATGGGTATTCCCTCCACCGAGCCTATTACCCAGAGTCTTGGCACACCTAAACAACGCGACAGGGACTTATTTAATAGTGGCACCGGAGTGGCCTCAAGTCTTCTGGCTTCAAGATCTGAAGTCCAGAGCATTGGATCACCCACACGAAATTCCGAATCTATCGAAAACAATGATCGACATGACAACATCACAGCCACCTCCACAAGTAGATCTATTAACCTTGAAAGTTTGGAAAATTGGGGGTGGGGTTCCCAAATAAAAGAGTGGTCTACACAAGAGAAGGAGCTGCTAAGAAATAGCTGGCGAAAGTCTACTCTAGCAACATATCTACCTGCCATTAAAAGATGGTTGAAGTGGTGTAACAGTACTCAAGTAAATCCAAAATCACCTAATCCTGCTGACATTGCTAAATTCTTAATCTATCTTTTCCTTAACGAAAACTTATCTTATAGCACTATTTTGGTACACAAGTCGGCTGTATTAACTTTCTGTGGGCCTTATGTAGATCAACAAACATTTACAAACTTCATTATAAAACATGCCCTTAAGGCAATTGGGGTAGCTAAACCAAAATCAGTTAGGTCATTTGTTAGTTGGGACCCAAATGTAGTTCTGGAATGGCTTTCAGCTAATTCACCTAAAGATACGCTCTTTGAAATATCGCGTAGAACAGCAACAGTGTTATTGCTAGCTTCTGGACGTAGAGTCCACGATCTTACCTTGTTGCGAATTTCCAAAGACAACTATCTTGATAATGGACAAAACATCTATTTAATACCGGCATTTGGTTCAAAGACTGACAGACATGACTGCCGCCAATCTGCTTGGAAGCTGTCTAAACATCCTGATAAGAACATCTGCCCAGTTAGTTTAGTTAGATGTTTAATAGAGAAAACCAAACATAGAAGGTCGGATGTTAAAGACTTAGACAACCTCTTCATTACAATTAGTAATAAAGTAAAATTTGCTTCCCGTACTGTAATAGGCAACTGGGTGCGCACAGTTCTTAAAGACAGTGGCATTGATGCTTCCCCAGGGAGTTGTAGGTCAGCTGTAGCTTCACTGGGGTGGTTAGATAATCAACCCTTAGATGATATATTAGCTCGGGGTAACTGGAAATCTTCCACTACATTTTTTAATCATTACTGTAAAGTAATTAAAGTATCTAAAAATGACCATAATTGCTTTTTCAATACATTCACGTCATTATAAATTTATGATTTAAATTAGTTAATAATAAATAATTAAGAGATTTGCAATAAAAAAGGTGTAACAATTATATACAAGTTAATATTGTTAAACAATAAATAAATAAATATTATAATTATATATAATATATAATTTACTTTCATATTAAACTTTTATTATTCTCATTTTACTATTCATCATAGCGTTGTGTTTATATACCTACAATGTACATATTTCACCAGCAGATAACAAACACGTCTTCATATACAATGCTGTATGTTTTCCGGAGGCACATCAATATAACGGTTTTACATAATAATAAAACCGATATTATGTGCCGAGAGGGAAAACATACAGCATTGCAGGAAGTCCTTCCTGGTGAAGACTATGATATTCAAAGTGACAACGTTTTGCCGTGTCCTAGCTGGATTTTCTACTACCGTCAATTTAAAATTTAGTATAGGGTAGTTGAAAAGTAGATGACATATTCCACAGACCGTAAATAAATGGCAAAGTATACACTGCTTCTTCATATACAATGCTGTATGTTTTCCCTCTCGGCACATAATATCGGTTTTATTATTATGTAAAACCGTTATATTATGCGTCTTGTCTATAGTTGTCAAATGTCTAGTTTTATTATGTTTTTATATTATATCTTATTTTTCAATCTTCAATCTCACTTTCGATGGCTTACGATTTTAACGACGCGTATGTTTTTATTACACATGAATTTACGCCGTGATTATTTCAATATTTCTGATAATAGCAAATATTATATATTTTTTTCACGCTGTAATGTCTCGACGGATTTGAATAAAATTTGCAAGAAAAATAGTATATGCAAGAGTATTAGCATTTTTTTTCGACTATTACATGAGCAAAAACTAGTCTGTAATTTATACGTATAATATGTTCGAACACAGCGTAGCAAAAAAGCTTCGTACAGGAACTGAATCCATGATATTTTTCAAATGGTCTTTTAGTTATTATATTACTATGTGTTTTATTTATATATAATTTTTATCTATGGCATCTATTAAAGTTAATACTTCTTATTCATTCTAGCATTATAAGTATATTTTTGTTATTATTATTTTGTATTTTATATTAATAATATGACGTATCTTTGTCGCTTCATTATGCTGTAGTAGATATTGGTATATCCTACCCTCTTAGACAAGACGACTTTCTACAATCGATATCATTTATAAAAATTAAATAAAAATATCCGAATGGCATATATTATTAAAACTATGAGACATTATAGATAGATATTGTCATTTCCATACATTTATTGGTGTTTTATTAGCGATTGTAGAAAACATCTTGTCCAAGCCCTGTAGTAGTGAATGTAGTAGTTAAATGTCAAGTATTATTAGTACTAATGTTGGAAATTAACATATATTTATTTTGTATTTTTATAGGAACCATGCGTAAGTCAACATTCAACTTTTAAGCAACCACTTTGAGGAGCGCTGTACTATTTTACGCTTTACATACTTGGCTATATGACGTCACGCCAAGATTGTTGCTTGAAAGAATTTAAAATTTACATTGTGATGCCCTTTTGATTTTTTTTAAATCGTACAAACATTTTGATAGTTTTTTTTTATTTTTAGCAAATTTTTTTTTACATTTTATTTTTAATCTGATTAATGAAAAAATATATAATAGCTTTCTTATATAAAACACGACTTCAGATGCTTGTATGATTTGCTCCCACCCAATTCCAGCATTTCCCAAGAATTTTGAACAGATCTTGGTGCGCATGCCATCCATTTTCCATTCCAAAGCATGTTTTCTCCGTGTAACAGTAGTAACAAACGCTTCAATAGTTTTATCTGCATGTAGAGACGAAAATTAACTAATTAACATAGAAAGACATTGAGAAGACATGTTGTTGGGATTTCTTTAAACGCTTCAAAAAACTCAGCACGATTTTGAATTTTGGGATTCAACGCCTGCAAGGAATAACATTGCAACTTCTACCAATTTTTAATTTTTAATCCTGCAACTTATACCAATTTTTAATCGAGACGAGAGAAGGGAGATTTATAAAAATCCATTCAGGCATTCGAGTTATATTTTAAAGGAAATGCTATACCTGACAACCCTAAAGTCATTTCCGACGAAAAGTAAGTATTCCAGTCGGGTGCGCTTCATCCACGTCTCTACTGGAAATTCCCGTACTATTACTCTCTCTGTATGGATTAGTATATGTTGATGATATATGACTATGTTGAGGTTTATAAATAATGTAATATTTTAAATAAAACTATCTTTTAGCATTTTTTCTCGGATTTATTATGATTTTTGGTTCCCCACGTTTCGAATGCTTCACAGCAGTCATGGAGAGAGTCTCTCCCGTGACCATGATTTTATTTAAAATGTTCAAGAGTTTTATTTATTTCAAATATTTGCGTAAATCTAAGAAAATATAATGTAATATTAACAAATTGAGTTACAATGTTGTTCTTTGAAAGTGTTGAATTTATTCTTTTAATATTGCTATATGTAGATATGTGATGATGTGGACAGATTCCGTAAGCGCAAGGAGCAGGCTGCTGCAGCATCAGAGCAGTGTAACCAGATGACGCTGCAGGCTGGTCTTCGGACCCTGCACGAGGCGGGGCCGGAGCTGAAGAGAGCGATATCAGGAAACCTGGATGAAGTGGTCCCGGAGACTGTGGAACCTATGCATAGGGTAGGTTGCTGGTTTGGAGTTTTAAGATTTTTAGTTTAGTGTTTTCCAGATGGCCTTTAAGATCTATATCACTACATAGTATAAAACAAAGTCGCTTCCTGCCGTCTGTTTGTCCCTATTCATGCTTAGATCTTTGAAAGTACGCAACGGATTTTGATGCGGTTTTTGTAATAGATAGAGTGATTCAAGAGGAAGGTTTATATGTATAATACATGCATATTATAGTACAGAAAAGCCGAGAAGTACAATGATTTGTATCTCATACTAACCGTTAAAACGTACCTAGACGGACGAACCCGAGCGAAGCCAGGGTGAGTTCCTAGTTTTGTATTATAAGTTAGATTAGAAATGAATAGGATTATCGACTTGATAAGACTTACTATGGCTCAGTGACAGGCTACGCATATTCTTAACCATCGTGTCTAAAAGAACCAAATATTATTATATAATAGCTCCAATGATTTTTTAAATTCACTCCCTAAATAGATTAAATAGGGGATTGAAGTTAATATAGGAGCCATTTTTGAAGTTACAATTATGAAAATATTAAAAATCTATATGAAATTGGCGAAATAATCTGTGCTCACTGCACGCTTTGAAAACATTAACAAGAGAATTGAATTGAATTGTAATTTTTAAACTTCAGCTTATATTGTCGAAGAGAATATCATGCTCATTAGTTGAAGTCAAATATAAATATACGTTTTTGTGTTACAGCGTAACCACACACTGTTTGGTGCAGTGTGGACCAGTATAAAGAAAGGCAAGGAAAGTCTGTACAGACCTCCGCCCAAGTTCAAGCCCTTGGCTGTAGCTGGTAATGGTAATAAATAATATTAATAATACTTTACTTAAAGATATTTTACACTTGTGAATAAATATTTTATATTGCAGTTTATTCTTACTTTTACATAATAATATTTATTAGTCGGATGTCTCTGTTGTTGTACTCGTCGTAGGAGATCTGTTTTAAGGCATACAGCCCCCTCAAGTATTAAAAAAATACTATATAATATAATACACCTATTTATTTCTTTTATAATGTAACTTTTATAATGTAACTTTTTAAAAGAATTTAAAGTGTATGTGTGCGTGTGCATACGTGTGTGTGTGAGTGTGCGTGTTAAATACCTATTTGTGTGGCTTTTGTATGGTAATATTTTATAATGTAATACAACTATTAGGTAACGAGGAGAGTAAGTCACTCAGCTGGATGATGCAGCGGGAACTTGGAATGGACGGAAAAGTGCCGGAGGATGAGAAGTGAGTTACTTTACAATATATCTTAATAACTATATTAGATTTGACCTTTTTGTATAAACTTTTTCATAATGAGTTCGATACTTGTCTGTTCTGCTTGAGGTAATTAAAATAAATGTATAGCAGAGACCATATTAAAATCCATGTCCGTTCAAAACGAGTAAAAGTAGAAATAATCAAGGAAAACAGCCGAATATAAATAAATCTTTTTATATGAAACTCTATTGAACTTAAAAATCGTTGGGATCTAAAAGAATAAGTTTTCAGCTCTATAGGTTAAGGTTATTTTTCTTACATATAGAAATTCTTGCACTTAAAAATCACTTATTTTACATTAGAAAACAAAAACGTGGTAGATATTCGTACAAACCGACAATAGTCGGACGAATATATTGAAGTTATACTTCTTTTGGCACGTTTGGAAAAAATATGAGAGTAAAATTTTTAAGATGCGCGCACACACCGACAGCCAAAAACCGACATGATGAAGTTAGCTGCATTCCTTTTACAAACAGAGACTTGTGACATACGGGATGAAATCTTTAGCTATTATTGTTCTGTTACGCCAAAGAAGTATAACTTCTTACGTGCGTACATAAGTACACACACACGTTTTTTTTATTATTTAAATTTCAAGTAAATACGAAGACGGCAATCAAAGTGAGGGAGAAGAGGAGATAGCGATGCAACCCTTACTCCACGGGAAGGACTCTGAGAAGATATTTAAAGCTATCGAGTAAGTTATGTGTTTATTTTTCTTTATTTGCAAATTGCAAGTCTTTTATCACAGGTTCGAATCCCGGGAAATTTCAGAAAATATGAGAAAAAAAGTATGATTGACTTAATTATGTTTTTTTTTATTTAAACGTATTTGTGGATGTATAATTTCTTTGTAGTATTTTTTTATGTTTGCATCAAAATTAATTTGTAGTTTTGTTTCGTTTCAAATATATATTTCTTGTAAAATAAGAATAATGTAGTATAATTTCGTTTATGTTGTGGTTCTACGTTGTCTGTCACATCATGGCACATTAAAATAATAATTATAAAACATCTTAATATTGATGCCAAAAATATTTTACATATTTATTATTAAATTCGCATTTAATATGAGCAAATATATTGTTTTATCTTTAAAACTATATAATATAACTCTCTTGGTATAGATATTAAAAGCGTTTCTTTAAAATAACCGTATTAGTTTTCACGGTTAATTATGAATTATCTCGATCAAGTCATCTTTGAAAACAAAAAAAGCTAAATTAAAATCGGTTCAAACGTTTGGGCGCTACGATGCCACAAGCATATACACAGACACACATATACATACATACGTTAATTTTATAACATCCCTCTGTATGCGTTGGGGATTAAAATGTAGGGGGTTAAAATATTTCGCCGTTCATTTTTTTATTTAAGTCAACGACGTAAGTTGAATCTAATTAGATTACTATCGAGTTAAAGCAACTACATTTGTGGCACATACGTGATGGGTGACCGATTAATATAAAAAATCATGGTATTTTCTTCAGAATACACGTCCATAAGTTATTAATTTAAACCCTCAAAAAGATTTGTGAGATAGTACTTATTGTATAAAAGTAGAAAAAAATATCTGAGAGTTACAAAATATTTGAACTATTTTTTTTTTGGATTTAAAAAAATGTCCTTTTTATACATTATATTATGTAAACTTGAATGATCTTAGATAATTTTTTAAATTCAAGCGAGTAAATACTTTAAATTTATAAACTACTCCATCTCGCGGATATTTCTGGTACCGCCTTGTTATAGATACAATACAAATAATATACGTACTTTCATATTGCCACTAGATGTCGTTACGTGTTAATTTTTTTATCGAAATAAAATTTGAAGGAAAGCTCAGTAACTAAAAATGTTGAACGGTCTGAAAAAAAGTCACCAGAAAAGATATATAGGTAATAATTTATAAATAAAGTGAGAATAAAGTGAGACTTTTAGCCTATAAAATATTTTTATTAGGGTTGCGTACCTAATGGAAGAATGAACTGGAGCCTTCGCTTTTTGGCGAACGTATTTTTTTTTGATAATAATACTCACACCAATATCACGGCAATGATAAGTAACATTACCGTGCCAATATATACGAAGACGATTAAAAATGCCACAGAATATGTATTTTCGCAAAAAATAGGTGTTAATGTTATTATAGTTTTTAATGAAAAAATGATTCAAAAAATCAATGGAAATTAGATTAATGGAATTAGCTGACAATAATTATAATAAAAAAGCTTTCTTTTCGTGTTGTATAGGTAGACTTATTTTTTTGGTTAAAAAAAATATGCACCATACGAGCAGCGGGCAAAATCTATTATTATTAAATTTTGGCATCAGTATAGATAGTGAACAGTATTAACGTTTACAGAAAAACGTCCAACGATTTAATGCAGAGTATGAGAAACAACTGTAAGTCCGTTTTAGTGTGTTGTGATTGTGTTATAATTTATTTATTTTTTTGCTTTTTTATGTATGAATTATGTATTTTTTAATTATTTATTTATTGTTTGAATTTTATACATGCTATAATAATATTTATTATTATATGATTCGAAATAAACAACAAACAAACAAACATACTTACACATTTATAATATTAGTATGGATTTAAGTATTTCACTTAACTCCTTTTTAATTACATGAAATAAATAAGTCTTATCATAAGAGAATGAAGTTATTTCATAATTATATTTTTTTAATAAATTATTAACTTAATCTATTGTACATATGATTGACAGGGGTTTGCTGTTGACCTTGCGTTATGTATACGTAATGCAAAAATGGTTAACCATTAATTTTTTACCAAAAATGTTGAGAATTTCATGCTTTACAACTGTTATAATAGAAAAAAATACAATTTAATAGATAGGAAGTGATTTTTTTGTAAAAAACAGATTTTTGTGAATTTTAATATCTTGCAATAAGATATTAAAGAAGTCGCGTTGCGTCTTAAGATATTAAAGAACTTTAATATCTTAAGACGCGGGCGGGCGCGAGATTATATGAGATTGCATTATACAACTTTTTAGATTATTACCACTTATTTATTATTGAAATCCCCACTATGACTATTATTATAGATATATACGATTCTGTTGTTTGTACTGACATGAAATTGTAGGTAGGTATACGTGTAATGTGATGCATCTACTAAGTCTATAAGATATTCTAACACTATTCATATTTTCATTAGCAGTAAACTAAAACGGCTATTTTTAATGCTTTTTTAACTTTTACAAACATTTATAAATTTATAATGGTATCGACATATATTACATTTTTTTTCTTTCGATTAAAACCAATAGACTACAAATTACAAATCCTTACCGTATATTAATTATTTAATTTAAATATTGTGAATGTAAAAGTTATACATGGTTACACTTATATTAAAGAAATGGTTTTACGATGTAGGGGTATAAGTAGTAGTAGCGTTGTTTGCCACGAGATGGCGCTGCAGCGCATTAACTTTAAAACCACGAATGCTATTTTTTGAAAACATTTAACAGTATTTTCTTTAAAATCAATGGTGAATATGTACCGTATGGATTTTTATAACTGTGATAGCAAGTATGCAATGTCATGTATAATTGATATTATTTGGTTATACGGTAATAGATCGTGACAAAGCGCCAGCGCAGTACAACGACGTGCCATACTGTGTAGAACATCCAGCGGAGAGCCTCATCACTCGCGTAAGTTTTAAAATAAAATGTATTTCGTCTAATGACTAATCCATTCATTTTTTTCGCAGCCCATAGAGAGATAACTTTATTCAAATAGACTTATAAAGGAAATTTTGAATCGTCACTTGTTACGTTTATAAAATTTATATTAAGTGTCAGTATGTAAGTCCGTGAAGAAGATGAAGTGTTCGGAAGACAGTTCTGCTGAGAAGAACCGGTGAGAAACTCAACAGTTAGGATAGCTTGGCACTTTAATCCTGGTTAAAGTTACGTAAATGTTTTACGGTCCTTGAAAATAGCGTGCAGTAATAGTTCTCGCATTTTCAGCCCGGTTGTTGTAAATATTATAAAGAAAAAAGTATTCGTTTGAAAAATTAGTTTTTAGTACAATCAACTAAATTTGAAAATAGCCTAAGAAGCACTTCATATTTTTACTGTTAAGGGGACATTTTTTTTTTAATTGAATTCGATATGTTTAGGAAAAAGAATAGGTTTACCGTAAAAAGTTAGTTTAGTTAGCTAATGTCATCTAAAAATATCATTGGGTGAATGTGTTTAATTATAAGGGTGTCTAAGGGTATTGGGTGAGGTTAAGGGTATGTTTGGGTGCAGGTGCTTACAGAGCAAGGGCTGGGCAAGTACTGTGACCGCGAGTTCGTGCGCAGCACTGCGCGGGAGATGCAGGACGCGCTCGACCTCACGCAGGAGGAGATGGACACGTGAGTGTTTGTTCGGTTGTTTGTTTGTGTCATTTTAACATTCTCATTTTAATGTTACTGACATAAAAGTGAGTGTTACTTCTTTAAGGTTTTGAGTGAAGTTCCTATTAGAGATAGCTAATATCCTCTGGTCTAGTGGCTAGTATATATTTAGTATGTATGGCCTGGAACAGGTCGAGTTATTAAGTTACCCGGAGTTAGGAACATCCTATTTTTGGGATATTTGGTTTTGGTATATATGTATGTATGTATGTATATATATATATATATATGTATGTATATATATATATATTAAAACCGAATATATATATATATATATATATATATATATACTTTCAAAAAGAAGGAGATTCTATGTACGTCTGTTTGTATGTTTTTTTATGTATGTTCACCGATTTCTCGGAGACGGCTTGATCGATTTTGCTACGTTATACTGTATATTATTAAAATAGGTTCCGTAAGTTTTTTTTGACACAGATTTTACCGTTTTTGAGGAAATCAGAAATCAGATATTTGAACTATGTTAACAGATCTAATTAGTCTTTTTTACCTAATCATAATTGTCATATTGACTTGAAACTTTGCATGTTTTTGTATTTCTGATGATAATTCTGTCATTTGGTATCATCGAGCTGATATGATGGCGAGGCCAGAAGGTGGATAGTGTAACTCTTTAACTGCTACTAGTTAATTCTTTGAGTTTGAGCTCATTTTGTTTCATTTGACAAACCCAATATGTTAGAATTGAATTTTAGAGCCTGATTATTGTTTAATATATATGGTAATAAAACATATAAGTTAATTTAGCATCATGATTTTTCACTGCCTAGCTTTAGCTTTTTTAATTTGTTGTAACGATACTTCAGTTAGAGTAAACAAATAAAAAAATAGTTTGACAGCATTCAAAAAATACGTTGTAAAGTTTTGTTTTAGCTAAGAGTAAATAAGTTAATAAATAGTACGTACAAAATACATTATACTATGTGTTACTAATAAAAGTTAAAATTATATTAGGTGTTACTAATAAAAGTGAGTTTTTTAGTTTCTTCAGCATACTAACATAAATGGTTTAGTCAAATATGTTATTAAAAAAACCTTATTACAAATTAGCTACTTATACGTCTACACTAAAAGGAAAAAAAAACCTTAAAAAAAACCGACTACCAAGCACTTTAAAGTAAAAAATAACTGAACGGGAGTTTTTAGTTCCTATAGATATTTTCGAAGTAGGTGCCAACCGATGCAAAGCGAAGCAAATCTATTTCGATACGTATAAATATGTACATCAGAAATTATTGTTCTATAGTAAATGAAAACCCCCGTTCAGTTATTTTTTAATTTTCAGTGCCTGGAAGTTGGTTTGATTTTTTTTTCAAAAGTCTTTGTGACATTAAATGAGCAATTCTTGTATTTATTTATAAATTTATTTCGTGTATCTCGAAAACGACTAATAATTTGGACCATATTTCAGTTTTGCTTTTTAAATTTGTCTGGTGTCTCTTCTTAAAAAACGCAAAGATATAAAAACACCTTTTCCGAAAACAAACGTAAAAAAGCACTTATTAAAATATAAACGTGAATATTTTTTTCAGTGCTGCCAATCAAATTATTTTGCAAGAGCGAAAAATGAACAGAGTTCAACAACCTAATGAGGTGGTAAGTAGGCTCTACTCTCTCGCAAAATACACTTAGGTAATATTAATAAAATACGTGTTAACTATGTAATATATAAAAATGAAGAATTTGTTAGCGGGAAAGTTTGTTTGTTTATTTGTTTAGACGAGCTAATCTCGCGAACAATTTGTTTTCTTTTTTACATTTTATGGCCAATTTGTCGATGAATATTATATTCCAACATCTTAGGAGTGGAGCAATTATACTATAAATGTAAAATTTTAACTTATTAATTTATAATACGTATAGTAGTAGTTATATATGTGTAGTGTATCAACTATCTGGTATCCATAACACAAGCCTCGTAGTTTACCATAGAACTAGATGGTGCTGTGTGTTAATGTCCCAACATACTCGTATTTATATTTACTTACATTGACATATTAATTAAAAATATTAATTTACAGGATCGCATACTGTCACAGCAGTATCATCCCTTCCATCAGCCAGTCCAGGCTCCTGCTAGGAAAAAATAATATTTTGTACTCCGTATTACGGTTTCGTTTTCACCTGTACGCTTGATCGCTACAGGTTTGTGCCCCGGGTTCGTTCGTCACTCCGGGCGAGAGAAGGGTTTGTTTGTTTACCCATTTTCTATATATAAATTTTTGAAATGTACCCCCTTTGAAAATTTCCTATGAATTTTATGATTGCAACACACTCGTTTATGGGTGATTTTTTTAGTCTTGAATATTGACGTTCGACTTCCAATAGTGCATGTTTATTGTTTAGTCTAGATTTATATACGTATATTATATGTTATTTTTTAATATATATGATTTGAGTATAAAATAATATTTTTAAAGCTAAATTATGCGTATTTAGTAAGTATATCTTGCTCTCCCGTCTCTAAATTTGCTTGCATTTTCTTATAGCTGGTACCTGATATTCAGAGTGCTACGAAATATTTATTATACTCTAGTTAAACGAATTATATTATTATTTATTATATCATTATATAATACAATAAAAATATTTACAAATGTATTGTCGAATAGAAAATTTATGGCAAGCGAACTGCTTACTTTATATAATGGTGAGTCCAGACGATAACGATTTTTATGTGCAGATTTGTACGGATCTATGAAATTTAAGTAAAATATTTGAAGCACATTTGTAGAATTTTGAAGTACGTGCGAACTTTTCATTACTTCAAACTTTTATTTTTGAGTTTTTCTATCATTTTTGTTCAGTATCGTCCCGAATCTTAGTAAAATTAGTCGTAACTTAAATGATAATTTTAGTTTAAAAATACGGAATTACAGACATACATGTTGACTTCCGTCTTTTCTGATACACCAATATTTGTCTGTATTATATATAATAAAAAAATCTATATCCGCTTTTGAAAATCCTTACCTATCGTGTGGACCCACCATAATAAATATTTTTTTAACGTATGTAACTTTAAAAACAACGTGGCGATGTGCCTTATATATTGGAACGAGATTTAGATGTTAGATTTTACGAAATGTGCCAAAATTGATATATTTTGTACGTTACTTCTATATCGTAGCTTATTCTTTGCTTATAATATGTGAAACTACTTATTTTTGTGTTTCATGGTCTCAGTCGTATAGTGAATGACCATTAAATATTTCAAAAATATATTGATCTATTTATTTCCTATAAAATTATTTGTTTGATATATTCTTATAATATATAAAATTATAAATTTGAATGTATGTAAATGCATGAGTTTATTCTAGTCAATGCCACTCGCTTGTTCTGATAGTTTCTATGGATTTCTGTATATGAATAGAAGGATATATTTGAATGTTGTATTTTGTATGAAATATACTATATTGTTATCGCCAATAAACATTTTTGAAAGAATACCCTGTTTTATTAACACTAATGACGTAATTCTAAAACTACACCCCATACAAAGAAATTAGACAGCACTTTTCGGGCTATTTTTCAGATTATTTAATTTGCTTGAATAATAGATATCGTTAATCGCTGTTGTAATATTTTATTACATCTTTAAGTGTAAATATGATAAATGTAGCAAGACTCCTTAATTTAATTAAACCACAGTGACTTTAACAGTTTTTAACCGTGATAAACAACTCGTAAAAAGTTAAAGCGCCATCTGTGATTATGCACTATAAACTCTTTACCTGATTGCTGATTTTTCTATAATAATCAGTGAAATTGAGGAGAGTTGTAACTCCATTATTTTGTTTCGTTAAGTGAGAGATTTTTTTTAAACCATATCATACATTTTTGGGATCTATTTTTAATTGTTTATTTTAAGCAAATTTCAATAAAAATTCAATACATATAATGCCATCTATGGACATTAATTTGAACTATTTTTTCTTTTCTCGTGATGAGACCCGATGTTTAATACATACGTAAGACTACTAAATAGCCCTCGCTCTTGATTGATCCCTACTCATGTCACAAAAGCGTCAATTGGAAAATTAATATTCTACATAAAAATATAGATCAAGACTTAAGCAATTATAGCAACTGATATAGAAAGATAAAGTGGTAATAAATCTGTAACACTTACGTAGTACGGTACTAAAGAAATGTTATTACTTGCAATAGGAACACGTACTGTGACGATATGAAATCTTTGTTTAATACTTGTGTGTGTAATAAAATTAACTGAAAAAAGCCAACGTTTTAAAGCCATTAACAAAAAAATTGAATGGAAAAAGAAATCTAATAATTATAATATTTGATTCTTGCTTCATCTCAAAGAAAAACAATAAATAATAAAATAATTTAAAATCACTTTTAATATTTAGAATTTATTTTTCCATATACTTTTCAATTTAGAATTTGCTTTCCGACGTTTTGAATTTCTAATTGGGCCAATTATCTTTAAATAATGTATCTTTTATGTCTGAAAATATGACACTTGTACTTTCGTTACAATTCACACTACATTCTTTTTCCGATTTTATTCCTTCATCACCATCATTCCAAAGTAGAGAAAAATTGTGCCTAATCTTTGCAAAAGTATTGGCTAGATCTGCCGTACTTGATGAATGTATGGTGTCACATTTATCTTTAGATATGTCTTTAGACTGACCAGTTGGTGGCAGACCATCTTTTACAATTACTGGATAGATATAACTTTTTGTTTTATTTGAATCCTTACTTGTACCGTCATCATTCTTGCATTTACCACGAGACTTGGAAAGTATTTCTTCTAAGTTATCTTTATGCGTTGTTTGATCAGTTTCATTAGTCATATCAACAATTTCGTCTTGAAGACGCTTGATTAAGCTTTCTAAATCAGTTATTTTACTATCTATATCTTGTGACGATTCCCCAATATCACTTTTGTATGGTGACTCGATTGTAAGTCGTCTCGTATTCCTGAAGTCTTCTTCAGATTGCTTATTTATTTCCGTACGAAATTTTTCTATGAGATTATCTTCACTAGATTTCCCTGGTAAATTTTTGAAAAACTTATCCATATTTACAGTCTATATCGTTTCATTCTTTCTTTACATTCCGCGATTTTTTCCCTTTTCTTCTGTTCTTCACAAAGATCAGGTTGTGGGGGTGGTGGTAGTGGTGGTTGTGGAGGGCAACCAGGCCAGGGTAAGTCAGGATGAGCAGCTGCTACTTCAATTTTATCACACCTTGCAGTCCCTGGCAACTGTCTCTTCACTATGCATACCAATGGCCGATTAGTAATTGTCACAGGAGGATTTTTTATCTTCTCAATGCATAATGCGTGGCATGACGGTGGGGGAGTAGGAGATTTAATGGGCACATGTGGGCATATTTTGATACCAGCTTTTTCTTTTTGACGTATTCGCTGTAATTTACATGGATCGGGTGGAGGCGGCTCGGGTACTGGTTCCACTGTGCATTTTTTCGTCTTCATTATGGGTCGATAATATTTAAGAAATACATTGCTATTTTTTTAGTTAAAATGATTATTTTATGTCATATCACTCAAAGATCATTGACATACTTTTTTTAATAACTTTTGATTTTTTAAATTCAGCCAGTAGCTACGTTTTACGCCAGAATTAGAAAATACCTTGCCTGTGGAAAAACTGATTTTGTTCACAGCGGCCAAGCTCAATGAGACTAGCCACCTGCGCAGGAGATATTACAGTGCACAAGAAAATGCGCGAAACAAGTGCACTCTCTATTTCATTCACTCTCAACTCTAGTGGGACATCAGTTTACCACTTGTGGTGAAAGACTAGGCGCAATGCCGACGACACACGTGTCTCTGAGGCACAGGAGTATCACACTGCCAATTTCTTAACTGAGACTGAGACTTTCTAATAAAAAAAAATCAAAATTACACTCAGCCTTACCTGAAACTCGAATCCAGGATAATATATTAAGATAATAATTAATTGTAAGGTTTTTCAGTATTATTTATAGGGACATAATAATATTTAAAAAAAATAACTGAATAAGTACCGACTTATTTTTATTGGCATTACATTAGATGTTCTTACATTATACTTATTTGATTTTATATTTCTTAATTTGACATCTTTAAAAAAAATATCTGTAGATTTTATTTTATTAATTCATATTCTACTAATATGCCATTTATTGATCACAATATTTTTCAAAAAGCTTCTCTGCACAATGTTCGTTATCCTTCTCACTGTCCTCGTTGTCGTCACAGGTATTCTGGTTAATAAACATCGAGAGCAACTTAGTTTTTATCAAAGCAAACATTGAGTTTGTACTCGGTTCGTGATCTTGGGATGCTGGTTTTGGTGGGGTTTTGGTGATTTTGGGCTCATCGTGAGGCGAGCTCTTGTTAAATTTGGAATTTATTATATTATCTGCAATTTGTTCAAAGCTACTGTTTTTTAGTATTGATATAGTTGATGCCACCGTTGATGCTACATTTTCGAGAACTTCTTTTGCCGGCTCAATTAAAGCTTTAATACTATTGTTTTCAGGATTTTCTTCTGTTTTACTTGTTTGGCCACTTATTCTTTCTAATAAAGTATGAGTGTTTGTTGCTGAAGAGATATTATTACAAACTTTAGTTTTACTCTGACTCTTACAATCTTTTACAGGTGGTGAATCGTCACATCTAGGTAAATGTTTGCAACTTTCGGTTTTTATTAAATTTACACAATCTTTTGTTTTATTATATACTGTTCCAACAAAATCTTTAAATGCGCTTTTTATTGTAGCTACTGCTTTACTTTGTGCTTCTAATAGACTATCAAGACTACTTTTTGGGCATAATTCAGTGGAAGAAGGCTCGTTGCTCTTGGGCTTTTTCATAACGTAGTAAGTTGGTTTTTCATTGCATTCTTTTGGTTGTTTAATGCCAATAACTTTCTCAAATTTCTCGATGCAAGCTGCACTACCTTTTTTAGCTAAATTTAAACTTTCACTAATACAATTTGAAATACAACTCTTTAATTTACAATCATCGATTTTCTTGCACTCTTGTTCTATGGGCTTTGGTGGTTCACAAGGCAAGTCTGCGTTTTTAATGCTACTTATAGAACAACAAGATGAATTACTCTGCTCTTTCTTCTTTCTACATTCATCACAGGGTGATATTTCAGGATTAATAAATGTGGCTTTACTTTTATTACCAGCCATGGTCTCGTTGCTTATATCTTTTATATTTATTGTATTGATTTCTTCAGTGGTTGGCATTGTAGGTTCAATAGGCTCTTCGGTCGATGGATATTCAGATGGTGGATCGACTTTAGGTTTGCAGCATTTATCTTTAGGAAACGAAGGACAGTGATTTGGATAAGTCTTATTATAAGGTTGTATAACTTCTTTGCAATATTTAAATTTATTTTGGGAGGGTGTTTTGAAAAATGAGCGATCAGAGGTTGTAAGTACTTCTTCAGTGAACGTTTCCTTTATTATTGTGATAGAATCTGAATCATCTGGATCTTGAATAATTTCGCAAAATTCAAATTTCTGTACATTGTCATTTTTACCTGATGTGTCAATATTTTCAGGGGCAGGTCTCGAAGTAGATCTGATGGATGGAACTGTATTTATGAGGTGGACTATGCTAGTTTGCGTTTCTTTGTCATTGAAAAATAAGCTAGAAGTTGATATATCTAATGCATTAAAAATTAAATCTTTTGAATTCATAGTATTGAATATTGCATTACATATTGCTTATTTTGCTGGATACATTTTAAAAATATTGTTTTTACTTAAGATCACATGTTATTTAGAATAAATAACGAAACTGCACTGTTTAATTTTATGATATTGGTTAACAAATGTCTAAATTTTATTTTTGACAATACAAGTGACTCACATAAAAAGTTTTTATATATCGTAAAGATTTAAACTTTTAATGTTGAGAAATAAGAAATAAATACAGAAGCCAAAGCCTTTACGAAAATACGATCTTATTGTCTTGATAATGAGTTTAGAAGCAAATGAATAGAATTGTGTAAAAGTGCTCGATTTTCATATATATATATATATATATATATATATCGTACATATATATATATATATATATATATATATATCGTACATATATATATATATATATATATATATGTACGACTGTATCAGTAATATTTAAAAGACTTAAGTCCTTTCGTTTGATAGAAACTTATATTTTGCAGCTGAAAAGGAATATAATTGTTCTTATAGCTCATTGTATTTAAAAAAAATCTTTATATGCTATTTACAAGATAACATGTACTTTATGTTAGAAAATGAGTAAAAAAGAAAGCAGTTAAAAACTCATATGCCTTTATTTCGTACTGGTGCGTTTGCCTTACAAATATACTTAATACAAATAAAATGAAACTATTACATGTATCTTAATATTATGACGTGAGAAGTATCACTTAAATCGATATGCTTTCGGGCCAAAGCAAAGAATAAATAGTAAATACATAATGTCAATTTATTGAGAATTCATTTACTGTGGACTTTTTCAAGGTTTCATCATTACCGCCAAGTTTTAACTAAGAGGTATAGTTGTATGATCTATGCGAACATTCCCGCGGAAATCTAATCCCGGGGTTACTCTTTAGCGTAGACATTGCCATCATTATATAACTCTGCTTCAGACGGTCTTCTAGATAATATAATATAAATAAATGAAGTTACATTCATATTGATATATGTAAATCTTATATAAAACATAAACTGTTTCTATTATAAAGACTTATATACATTTTGTTATACAAAATTAAAATATTACTTTCTTAATAAGAACTTAAAATAAATTATTTCATTGTATATTGAACTTATATAACTTAAATAATTCACTTTAATAAAATTCACCGCTTTTGAACATAAGGAACATATGCGGCCTGAGTAAAAAACCTTGTGGTATACTCATTCTTATATTAAATAAAGAAACCCTTAAGGCAGTTACAGTAATCTTGTGAAGTGTAAATACAAAATACCCAGAAAAGTCCACATTATCTTTGGCGATAAAATTATTGCTTGAAGATAAATAAAATCTATATAGAAAAGTTTGCATGTAAAGACATCTACAAGTCTTTGGCATATCTCTACACTGTATGTTGAGGAAAATCATTATTAGACGGTCCTTAAGTAAACACTCGTATACAATACAGGAGATTCACAATGGTTTATTTATTTAAAAATATATACCATATAATATGTTAAACACTATATATGAATTATATATATGTATGTATATATTTGTAGTATTAATCTTGTATGTAATGAAAATCTGTGTGTTTTTATAACGTTCTATTAAAAGTGTATTTTGTAGATATGAGGCATTTACTTACAGACCGTATTTCATAATCTACTGAAAATATAGAAATTATTTACAATTAAAATAAAAATAATGGACGGAAACGATAAGATTTCGAAACTAATAACTAAAACAATTGCTATATAGTGGGTATAAAGGTAAAAGTCACTAAGTACTTATAATACTTTTAGTTAATTGTTTTATTAACATAGATTAAATTAAAAATAAATGCTTTATTGAAATATTTAAGGCGATATTTTTAGTATATTCCGGAACATTTATTCAAGATGTCAACTTAACCGATTTCAAAACTAAAGGAGGCCCTAAGTTTTGTATTTGTGTATTAAATAGTGTTTCCGTCGATTGCAACTGCAAAAACTTCGAAATTGAAAAAAGGGAGGTAGCTAAATTTAGTTTAAGTGAGTGTATAATGAATTTTTCGGTTGAATGATAAAAAAGTCGGTTTTTGATTGAAAAAATGAGATTTTTTTATCGCTTATTGAATTTTACTTTTATACCATAACATATATTTGAACATATTCTTATGATCTTCAGCTACATACTATTTATAAAAAGTAAAAAATACAGAAAAAAAGGTTAATCTCATTGTAATTTCCATTATACAAATATTTTGTTCAGAACTTTTATAAATACATAATATTGCTAATAACGATATAAAAATAAATTAACTTAGAACAGTAACAGCATTAAAGGGCGAAAATAATTGTGCTTCGGACAGCTTTTTAACATAAATGTATTTTGAATGATTCATACATAAAACGTTCAATTGATAGCAATTCCCACTCTCCCATCACTGGGATAAGCAATCAAAAAGTAGGTACTATCAAATAGAAAAAGTTACACTTTAATCAGATCAATAACTTAGTTTCGATAAATTCCACTTAACATTTTCACATAACATTCATTCTAATATAAAAAACGATATCAATGTACATAAATTCCATACAATTTTATATATACGTAAACATTGTTCCTATTGAGGTAAACGAAATAAGAGTCTTAAACTAACCGACGTACTATCAAATATTTACAACTTATTTCAAGATACCATTTAAAACTTTGGCTCTCTCGTATAAAATAATGAGTATAAATGAACTGTAGTTGAGAAAGCAAAGCGATACTGACCTCGAAAATAAGGATGAGAAAATTGTACATATTTATCTATACACTGAGATTACTTAAGGAATGCGCCATTTAAGATTAAAGTCACTTTTTAAAGTTTATTATCACTTAGGTTCGTTGTGGCCTGCCGACTGCTATTGCTCGCACGGCGCCCGTTGATATCTGAAATGAAAAAATAAATTAAAAATTAAAAAAAACTCCCGACATGTAATTTACCATTTTGTGCGGCCTTCTTGGACCGATTTTCACCAAACATAGCTAAGAACACTCCCGATTAATTCACCTTTCTAACAAAAAAAAAACAAAATCAAAGTTGGTTCATCCGTTCGGGAGCTACGATGCCACACACAGACACGTCAAACTTATAACACTCCGTCGTTTTTGCGTCCGGGATTAATAAAATATACATAATTCTAATAATACTCAGCAGAACTGCTTTCCGAGCCGGTGGTAGCTTCCTCACGGACTGACTACACTGACGATTTCATTAAATTGACGTTAAAAAGTATTTGTAATAAGTTTAATTGAATAAAGTTTATTTCATTCATTCATACTTTCTAAGATTTAGCCGAATATTTGACATTTTAAATGAGGCAGGTGTATAATTCAATTTTAATGAGTCTTTCCCGAGACCATGATTGTTGTAAAACATTCGAAACGTCGAGAACCAAAAATCAAAATAATTCCGCGAGAAAATCCAAAAAGATAGTTTTATTTAAAATAAATAATGCTGCTTGTAATTAAAATAGTGATCTTTTTCTAATTAATCTACTTAGAAATCGTACTTTTTGAATAAGTATATTTTTATATAACTTTAGTTTTGGTATATTTACGGAAGGATATTAGTTAGGTATGTATTTTTAGGCTATCGTAATTTTTTTTCCAAATCTCAATTACTAGATCAGTCAAAGAAATAACTAGCAAATTGTATTTTAAGGCTGCTAAATTAGAAATATTAAAAAAATTGTTTAGTTATTATTTTAAGTGTAGGAAAACAGCGAATGTTCCTCCTGACAAACAAGATATACGCCATATATCTACTGAACACATCATACCAGCCAATACGCAGAACAAAATGAAATATTTATCCACATGATCCTATCGATTGGAATACCTGAGCTCCCTCCATTGAGTCTGTTCAAAGCCCCCAACTTTGCAAAACTTTAAAAGCAAGGAATCACTTAAATTTAATGCCCTATAAGTTACATCGAGTCCCGAGGGTTTATGCCCTTTGTTTGAGTCCTAAGGGAGAGAGGGACAAATGTGCGAAAGAATTGTCCTTTGCGAGTTGCCCTTTTATTTTTGATTGGATTTTCGGATTAATTAGCTGATTTTTATTGTTTGCGCTGAATTATATTGATTTGTTTCTACAAGTTTGCCTTTAAGGGAGAATGTTAGTTAAAATTAAGAATTGCTCTTTCCTTAAAGTAACTCTGTCTGTCTGTTAACTTTTCACATTAAACAGATTTGGATGAGATTTTAAAAGAACATCATTCTATTATCTAGATCTAGAGCTCGGCAGACAAAATCTACTTTATAATAAATTATTTTGGTCAAGTTTTTCCTGTGGCTTACTACAACATAATAATGTTTAGTTGTTTAGCTATTGCTGCGATGCGGATTAATCAAAAATAAAAATATTTAGAATTTAGATTAATAAATAAATAATGTGCGTGATTTAAAAGAATCCAGTTAACAGGTGAATTTCCAATACCATCACTGAGGAAAACCACAGGTGCTAACATATTTCCCTGGGGTACGCCTGTCTTAAGCACGTAAATTTCTCAAATTATGTGCTAATCTAGTTCTTATACGCAGATATATAGAGGCTATATTGCTTTCACGCTATTTTCCCGTGTTGCGCCTCGTTCTACGGTAGCCGTGATAAAACGGTCAGATTTATAACTTGTACGATGCCATTTGTATCGCAGTGGTTGTTAAACGTGAAAACGATTTAAAGCCGGTAAAATTTTAGACGTGTAATGTGTGGTGGACCTCGCTCTTGCGAAGGTTTGGGTTGAGGTGATGTATTATTACATAATTAATTTAGATCGTTTTAATAGAACCTTCTTTGAATAATTATAGTACATGTATACATTTAAGACTCAGGAATTATTAAAGAACGCGATAGTGAAGAGAAAGAAGTCAGTAAAAAAAGTTATATTTAAAACAAACTATAATAAAAAATTATTACGTAAGTAAAGATAGCAACAAGTTCGATATCATCGAACGTCAGTATTTGGTTTGTAAATTACGACTCTAATATGCCTTCCTAAAAACTTTTGCTTGACAGTGGTTAACTTCTCATGATTTCTTGTAAGTTCTTAGTAATGACCGAGTTCAAAAAAAGAAGGTACTCAATTCAAATGTGTATAAGTTATCTAAGTATCACGTACGTCTTTGCCAATTGTGCCAATACCTTAACAGTTTTTTTTGTTATAAACCCAGTATTTTTTTCTGCTAATAATGGAATAATAACTTTTATGTCAGTGTATTACCTTTTTTAGTGTAAAAAATATATAAAAAAAACCATTAAATCAATTAAAGTTACTTACCACTTAGACAGCAAGCCGGTGGCGGCGGAGTGCGAGTAGGGACCGCCGTAAGGAGAGTACTGCGAGTAAGGTGCCGCGTACGCGTATTCACTCGCCAGAGTTGCTGTACCTGGAAAATATGAAATGAAAAATTTAGATATAAAAATATATACGAATTCGAATCTGAACTTAACTAAAAGTTGGTAAAACAAATATAAATCCATTTTGTTGGTCCATTATCCAGCTGGTTACTAAATTTTTATTATTTTTTTGTGTCTGCCATATTGATGCTGAATACTTGAAACCTAATTGCAACTGATTTCTAAGAAAGGATGTTTAATCTAAGTTTTATCTATACTAATATTATAAAGAGGTAGAGTTTGTTTGTTTGAACGCTTTAATCTCAGGAACTACTAATCCGATTTGACAAATTCTTTTTGCACTAGATATTCTATTTACGATTACCCATAACGAGAAAGGCTATAGGCTATATATCATATAATATATAGTCTATCTATTCCATACGAATCGTTAAAATGTACCTAGGGACGAACGCGAGCGAAGCGAGGGTGAGCCGCTAGTGAGATATCTGGTATATGTACAAAGTTTTAATTCAAAATATCTTATAAAAAATATCTTCATAATAAAAAAGTAAAATATAATCATTCGCACTTAATCTGAGATGAAATGTATCTAAAAGTAAAGTAAATCACAAAAGGTCCATCCGAGTCGTAACAACATTTGTCACCACTTAAAACGAAAAATAATACTGGAATTTAAGAAAAGAAAGAATCGGAAAGTTCCTCCAAACTCGACAACTAAGAGGCTCTACATAATCTAATTTTCCTTCCCTCATAACGCTATAAAATATTTAATGCTGTACCAATTTCGTTCTATTGAGATACAGAATAAGTGTCAAAATTGTGTGATCAAGGTTTTGGGACGTCACTTCTCTTTATGCCTTTGGTCTTTAATCTACCGCAATCTGCTTGGGGGTGGGGGGTGTTTAATAGCTCATTCGGGGCTCTATGCAAATAATTTTCGAGGGGGATATCATACGGCCTTTGTCTCCTGAGTAACGAACCGAAACACGATCAAGTAAGCTTCTTCAACGGGTTTCCAGCATTAGGGCGTGGCTTTGTAAATATTCAGTTTTCGGTTAAGGTATATTTTGTTACTTTGATGTGGTGGAGTATAAAATTAGTTTATATTAGGGTGAAAATATGGGGTTTTTGGAATATTCTATGACGGGATCCGCATTTTGGTTTTAAATTATTTCTATTCGACACGTATAACTTACGGTTGTTACTTGTGGTATTTCCTAATTATTTTGTTAGGTATTGCAATATCAATTTAGTTGTGAAACTTAATTTGAAATAAAAGCTTTTCAAAACTGAATAAAATAAATATATATAAAATATTATACAAGGAAATTTCTTGTGAAATTTACATCAGATTTTGTTTCAGTATCTTATATACCTTTATCAGCTATCCTTAGGTTTGGAAAGATACAGACAGACGCTCAAAATTCAGCTAGCAAGAACTCTTCATAGTATAGCTACCATATACAAACTCCACAAACGTAACCTAAATCTATTATCTACAAAATTTCCACATTAGAACGTCATCATCACTTACCATCATAATGCGCATACGGAGGGTACGGCGGTGCGGGAGGCTGGAGCACGACCAGGGCGGCGGCGTCCGGGCTGCCCGCCGCCGAGGGAGGCTCGCCCGCCGCTGTGGACCCTGTCGAGTCATTTGTTGCTGGAATAAGGCACTAGTGTTAGCAAAGCTATTGCAATGTAAGTCTAACTCAACATTTTAAACCAATTACTTAAATTAACTTTAATAAAAGTTATTGGAAAATATAAGAAAATTAGTACATTAAGGCCTCTTTGTAGTTCACAACGATCATCTGATTATTTTAAAAAGTTTCTTTTTTAACAGAAGACTGATTTATCGTTGTAAGTACAATAGTTTCGAGTTATATGCTAATAAATCCATCTCAATGATGTATGATCTATGGCTACGTCATATTTGGCATTGTCACCGAAGTAATTTTATGTAGACTTAAGAAAATCTAGTATTTAAGAGAATTCTTTATCAATTATTTTGATATTCGCACAACGGGTACTAAACAAAATTTTTTTAATCTTACGAGAATTAAACCCGCTTAATAATCGTCAAAAAATATAAAAGACTATCTAAAATAATAGAAGTTCCGTTAAATTGATATCGGATCTAATATAGAAACAGACCGTCCCACAATAAATATAACTAAAAAACCTGAAACAATTTATTTTCGAAGTTGAAAAGGCAAAAAGGATGACAAAACAAATTGGTCCAGCGGAGGCTGCGATGGGATCGGTAAAGCAACCATTTATCCAGAACACCGGTGACGCGAAAAACCTACGGTGATTCATACGCCGCTGTGATTGACTTTCATTAACTACACATTCAAAATCTACATGAAATGTTTTATTTTCTGTTTTATGTCCTAACGATAAAGCCAATCGTTTAACGACGGACAGAAAATAAAATAAGTTAAATGATAAATTGTTTGTTTTAAAAAATAAAATAGAATCGCTTTTTTAGGGTTCCATACCCGAAGAGTGCTAACGGAACCCTATTAATAAGCTACCGCTGTCCGTCCGTCTGTCAGAGGGCTGTATCTCATGAACCGTAATAGATAGAGAGTCGAAATTTTCACAGAGTATGTATTTCTATTGCAGCTATAACAACAAATAATATAAATAACCATACAAGAAACATTTTTTAACGTTCTTAATGGATCATCGAAGTTAATATACTACATACATAGAGTAAAAGTCATATTACTAAAAAGTACATGTCGATGCTACGGGACCCTTTCGTGATGCGAATTCGACTGGCACTTGACCGTATTTTTTATTTATGTAATACATACCTATTGTAGCTTTTTGCGACCAATACGTGATATTAGAGATCAGAATTTGCGCTTTGTAAAAATGAAAGATATGAGCCCGTTTGAAATTGTTACCAATACCAATTATGGAATATGCTATCTATATGGTTCTTTCAAGATTAATCTCTTTTAAAATATTGTAAGTCATAAGAAAATATATTTACTTAACTCGGAACTTAATCTCATGTCAAGAATAATACTTTCTTAGATTTACGCGAATATTTGACATTTTAAATAAAACTATCTTTTCGGATTTTGTCGCGGATTTATTTGCATTTTTGTTTCCCGACGTTTCGAATGCTTTACAGCATCCATGGTCACGGGAGAGACTGAGGTGTTACATGTTTTGAATGTATAGTTGTTACAGACAGCCTATCCACAATTAACAAAATGAAAATTGCACCAATTACATTACAATATTTTTTAACTTTAAACATTTTTATAATTTTAATTATAATTGAATATGGAAAATTATTTATTTAATTTTTGCTATTATTTTTATAATTATTACAATTTTAAAATATTAATTAGTAATCTATATTTAGTGTTGCCATTATTATATTTATATGTGTAATAATTGTATGTCTGATAAGCTTATCAGATTAATATTTTTCATTTTTCATTTGTAAAAGTATATATTAATAGTGTTGCTTAGTAATTTGTTTTAAATAATAGCAAACTAAATTACAATTATTATTCTTAATTAGTTTTAACTTTTTAAATTACACATAGAACAATTATATGGCTTAAATAATTAATACTATATTTTATATTTTTCTTTATGGTTATAAATATAATAATGGCAACACTAAATATAGATTACTAATTAATATTTTAAAATTGTAATAATTATAAAAATAATAGCAAAAATTAAATAAATAATTTTCCATATTCAATTATAATTAAAATTATAAAAATGTTTAAAGTTAAAAAATATTGTAATGTAATTGGTGCAATTTTCATTTTGTTAATTGTGGGTAGGCTGTCTGTAACAACTATACCTTCAAGACATGTAACACCTCAGTCTCTCCCGTGACCATGGATGCTGTAAAGCATTCGAAATGTCGGGAAACAAAAATGCAAATAAATCCGCGACAAAATCCGAAAAGATAGTTTTATTCTCATGTCAAGAATTGAAAAAAAGTGTAAAATAATAACGGATATGTTGATAGTGGATGTAACCGCAGCTTGTGGTCTGCGATGGGAAATGGCGCCCTTGGAGTGAATTGCTTATGAATGTTGTTTATTTTGTTTTAATTAAATGTTTAATATGTTTACTTTTTAGATATTTAAGAAGACTCCTTTTGGGACTTATTGTTTCTAATTTCTATTCATGTTTAATGGAAACAAAACTGACTTCCGAGTCGGTGGTAGATCCCTCACGGACTGACTACACTGACATTTAATTTAAATTTAAAATGTAAAATTGACGATTCAAAAGTGCTTGGAAAAGTCTATTTGAATAAAGTATATTTTGATTTGATTTGAAACACAACATAATTCATAACTAGCATTTTTAAATTAATGAGTTTTAGCATAATACATACCTATTTTTTTTAATTATGTATATTGAAGTAATTAGAAATGTATTTTTAGTTAAATTAAAAATTACATTGTCTGTATATTTAGAAGTACTAATATTTACTATTTAGTATACAAACGCTATATTTGACCCCGTCTTATATTTTATTACAACACAATTCAATTCGATTGTCTTGTAATGGCTTCAGCTTGCCAGTTGAGCACAGATTACTTCGCCAAATGTCACGTAGAATTTTGTTACAATGTTACCTAAATCTAAAACTTGACACGAAATTGTGATTAATATCACGTCAACTGCCTCTACTCTCCTATTTGCACTAAGTTTCCATTCACTCTACACATTTGTTCCCTTTTTAAAGAACCACTAGATTTAATTCATAAATAGATACCAAGAGCAGTTCCCAGAATAATAGATGGAGATGAAAGAAAAGTCGTTGACCCACACAACTGGTCAACAGGTGGTCAAGTTACGCATCTCGTCTTACCGAGCAGGATGTGGGGATGACATTATATACTATTGTGATGGATTTCCGTTGGCTACAATTTCTGTCTCAGAGAAATCTGATTATGAGAATTGTTGTTGTTTCTAGGATTATTGTGTATATAGATATCTTATATTTGTTTGCTCATATTTAATATAGCAGTACTTACAGTAGTATAAACAGAATGTTTAATTTCAATTAACGACTTTGGACCAATTACGGTACGAGTACTTGATACTATAGTAAGCGGAACCCATGAATGATATTATGACCTTTATAGAACCAACAGTACCTAAATCATACATTCTTCCTATATTTGATCCACTAGGATGTAACATAATAATTTTATTAAAATTTAAAATCACTCCAGATTACGCATAATTAAGGCTCTCCGGCAAACTAAGAAGATTTTTGGTACGTACTTATAAAAACAATACATAATTTCAATTCAATTAATTTAGGCTAAACAATACAAAACAGTAGTGTAACCAGTAAGCAATGAAGGTCGCGACATCAGCCATCAGTCACGCCCTAAAACCTGCGGTGACAACTAACTGTGCCTGGATTCCAGCCTGTGGTTGTTCACCGAGATTTCGTCTGAGATTTGTAATTGATTTCCGCTTGTGAAACGGGAATAAAATGTACTAGTACATACTGGGGATTTACCTAAGTTTTTAGGTATTATATTAGAATTGAGCCGTGTACTGAATTGATCAAAAGGCAAATTGTATGGACAAAGCTAAGTTTCTTTGATATATCGGATGTCTTTAAAAAAGCGGTATAAGCTATTTTGATAATAACTTTTAAGATCTGTATGCTATATAGCATTCAGGTTTTTCAGAGTCAGAGAGAATAGAGAGTCAAGCTCTAACTACATATTTGCATCACTCGTTAACTCATTTCAATATTTCTCTTAATTCTCGCTCGTTAGGAGTATTTACACTTCTGAATCCAACATTTTTAAAGAAGTTAAGTAGTTTTTGCAAATAAAATGTTAGGTTTTTACAGACTTACCAGAATGTGGCGTGTAGTGATGTGCAGGATGCTCGTACTGTGCGTCGAACAAGTCAGGATAGTACCCGGTACCTCCACCCAGTTCTGATAGTAACTTGTATTCGTCTTTTAGACTCCATTTTGATGATGGCCACAGCTACAAAGAATTATGTAATTAGTAATATTGCAAGGTTTTGTTGATAGTTTTATTTTATTCGTATTGATTTATAAGAGGGAGGTAATGGTGGTATGTTACTTAGTTGTCTTGTTTTTAGAATGAAGCACCCCTTCATTAGTGGCGGTAGTTAAAAGAGCAATTGCTGAGTTCCTCATTGGCTTTTCTCAGTAGAACTGTTTTCCGAGCTGGTGGTAGGATTTTACGAATGGTATGACTCTTTAAGTCAATATCAAAGTTTTTGGAAAAACTGTTACTTTTTCTTTTCAGTGGTGGACAGATCGAATATTTGTAAAAGAAATCAAATTTTAACAACAATTTGCAAAGTAGATACTTACATTGGAGTAAATCTGGTCCCCATTGTAATGACTTCTTTGTCTTTTGACGTCGTCTTCTGAATGGCTATTGAAGTCTCTATTCTCGTCTGTTGGTTAAAAATAAAATTTAACTGGTAGTAAATAGAAAAATAATTCTATTATTTTTTATATTATTAATCATTATTTTTATCTAAATATTGACAAACAAAATTATTATTTTTGTCTGTCAGTTTGTTCGTTTAATTAGAGTTCGTTAAGAGTGTATACATACATGTATGTATGTATTCAACTCTTTTTAACGTCCCACTGCTGGGTACGGGCTTCCCTTCAACGATGCTGGCCAAGTGCAGGTTGGCAAACTGCACATTTCTTTCGAAAAATTCTTAGGTTCCGTTAAGCATGCAGATTTCCTCACGATGTTTTCCTTCACCGTAAGATAAGTGGTATCATGTTGGAAATGATTCGCAGATGAAAATATTAGAAGTGCGAGACACGGAATTTGATCCTGTTTCACTCGATTTTCCAAGTGAGCGCGTTACCATTGGGCTATCACTGCCTATTTCTATACATATAGTCTTCTATATTAATGAAAATGAACGTTCGTATGTTTGTCCTCTATTCGTTCCTAAACAAGTCAAGCTCAGGGACGCACCCAAGTGAAGCGAGGGCAAGTCACTAGTAATAAATAATATAATACTTTAGATACAAATATAAATATACATAAAGTATAAACTACTAAAGTTAAACATAAAGGATAAACTCTAGGCAGGAAGCTCTATACAAAATTTAAGAGAAGTTATAACTTAATATAATATGGCCACAATTTGTGCACGCGCTTAATAGCACACTAAATCTTGTCGTTCTGCTGAGCGCACACCATGAGGGTAAGGAGGGGAAACAATTTATGTCGATATTTTAAGTTTTGTTAAATTTTTAAAGTTAAAAAGCATTATTCATCTTTTTTTATATTTTTAATCTAAATATATTATTAAGGATAGTAATATAATAAATCAGGATGTATATATAATAAATCAGGATGTGAGTATAGAGAGTACGGGGCAAAAAAAGTTAATTTCTACGCATTTTCTCATTTCTTTTAAAGCTAACGTTTTAGTGAAAAAATCCTTTTCAAATAGCATAATTTGTAAATTACTGTCCCTTCGTAATCATAGTAACATGAAAAACAACACACATATCGTACCTAACAATGTAACATATTTTATTTGCTTACTAATAAATTTCATTTTTTTTGTATTATTATAATCGATTTTAACATATCGATATCGAATTCTCGCATCACTTGTCCCAGAGACAAAACACGTCGCGGCGCGGGAGACCCACAAATATTTTAATCCCTATGCTCTTGTGTCATTACTTACAAGTTTTCTTTGAAACAAAAATTCTATTGAAACCCTTTTCCCTCGTTAAGTGGAAAAGTTCTTGGAAACCGAACAAATGCTTTGTTACGATTCATTAGATTATTTAGTTGTGGAATATAGAAATGTAACGTTATTGGTTGACTATATTTATTTTTTATCTAGACATATAATAAAATTCGAACTGAGTTGAATCTGTACATTAAATATTTATTGGAAAATCTTATAGAAATAGTCTTTATTATCGACACAGAGGCCGACTCTATATTTTTTTAGAATGTTTGTCTGTCTGTCTGTGATCGCATCACGAGAAAACCACTGGACAGCTTTTAATTTTTGGTATAATGATAGCTGGTTATCCGGGTCAACATATAAGATACTTTTTACTGCGAAAAAATATCTCATATCTGAGAAATACATATTAAATGTTAAAACGTAATTAGGGACAAACACGAACGGAGTGAAGGTGTGTCGCTAGTTTATTATATATTTGTATGATACGTATGAACATATTTATAAATATGTACATTTTCTGCTATCTCTTTATTTATTATTCGCGCGGCTTCTATTTTAGTACTACGAGTATTTCCTATACCTAAAGGTTACCTGGAAGAAATAGCTCTTTTAGCGATAGGGCCGCCTCTTGTACATTTTCCACAAAAGAAAAACATACACTTTTCCATTCATATCAATAGTTATTTTATAATATTAAAGGTCCATACTATAAATGTCAAAGTTGGTGAGGATGGATGGATGGACGCCAGATTTCACGCCAGAACGGCTGAACGGATCTGGATGAAATTTAGCACAAAGATAGATTATAGTCTGGAAGAGAACATAAGTTACTTATATCCCGAAAAAATGAACGGTTCCCGTGGGATAGATAGATGTTTGTCTAGGGACGAATTCGAAGCGACGCGAGGGTCAATCGGTAGTCTTGTAGGTATACATATATGTATATAAATTTATCTTATGTATCTTGGAATCGGCTTTAGCGATTTGGATCAAATTTTGTATTTAGATAAGGTTAGCTTTTTAAGGTGTTTTTTCGGAAAAAAATGCAACTATTCGCAAAAAAAACATTTTTTATAACTAAGTATTTGAGTATTTTTCTATCTAAGCACATGCTCACATAATCACATAGCGCCATTTTGTAAATATTGGTGGTACGTGCATTCACGTTAATGGATGAAAATTTACTGAAAGCCGAGCGAAGCTCGGTCGCCTAAGTACTTATAAATAATATTGAAAAACAAACCTTGGTCCTCGTGTCTCTTCCTCTTGAGCCCGTTTCCATTGTGTAGTCCGTCCACCTGCTCGATGCCCAGGATACCGTTGATGCTGTAGCTGCCGGTGTTGTTGACGTGCTCGGTGGGTGACAGCACTGCGGTCGCGCCGGGGGCGTTGCCCGCGTGGGTTATCACCTGTGAATAGTATAATGTATTAAGTATACGAAAATAAATCGGACTACTATTATAAATTCGAAAGTTTGTATGTATGGGTATGCGTTAGTGTGTGTTTGTATGTGTTTGTTCGTTACTCTTTCAAGCTGAAACGGCTGGACTGATTAGAATGAAATTTAGTACACAGATAGAATATGACCTAGCACAAATGATACGAATGAACAAATAATAACACACATGATACGTAGTATTTCATTCTTTACATTATCTCTAGATTAACGTATACATATAATAAAATTATAACTGAGCCGAATCTGTACATTAAATATGTTTTGGAAAGTCTTATTGAAATAGACATTATTATCGATACAGAGGCCGTACCTATCTATAGTTTATAGATTTTTTGTCTGTCTGTCTGTTACCGCATCACGCAAAAACCACTGGAGGGATTTTGATGAAATTTGGTATGATGATAACTGGTTATCCGGGTCAATATATAGGATACATTTTATTGCAAGAATCTCTGAGAAATCTACAGTAAATGTTAAAACGTAAGTAGGGATGAACCTGAGCGGAGCGAGGGTGAGTCTTTAGTATACTATATAGCTCTATACCTACTTAAATATAATACAAATTGTTATCGTTCATACACATTTAATTCCTCTTTAATTTTAAAAGATTATCATAATTAATCAATCCCTAAAACACTATTATAATTTATCCATTAATTTCAAAATATTCTTATTTGAAAAAGATAAATTCCTTAAAAAGTGGGAAATGGCGAACAACTAGCATGGGCTAAGAAATAGTGTTCTAAAGGGATAAATAAAATCCTGTGGACTCAGAATGATAAAAACATACTGGAACCCAAAAAATACTTACAGAAACAACACTGCCCTGCGCAGAACTAATCTCTTGCTCTTGTTGTTGCTGCTGCTGCTGGTTGTGCGCATGCTTTGCTTTCTCCGCCGCTTTATTTCGAACAATCCTGTAAAGATTTTATATTATAAGGTGTTGTCATTATGTACCAAATAAAAAGAAACAATTCATCAACCAAGGAAGTAATAATCAATTTAGGTTGGAAATTAATTCAGTCAATAACTAGAGGCTCGCCCTCGCTTCGCTCGGTTTTGCCTCTAGGAAAACAAAAACAAATCTATTCCACGGGAATCGTAGTTTTCCGGGATTAAAAGTAGCCTTTGTGTTATTCCAGACTATAATCTATCTATGTGTCTAATTTCATCCGGATACGTTTAGCCGTTCTTCGGTGAAAGACTAATAAACATCCATACATACCCATACACTACTACATACATTTATAATATTTAATACGGATTTCTTTTATTATTTTTCCGCCCAAAACTAATTATTTATAAGTATAAAACTTATCAAAATATTTGTTTGCTTTTTCACGTAGATAGATCATATTTCTTCACACATGGATGTTTTTCATCCTGGTCATGCGTTAGCGTGAGATAATAATTTCGCTATATACAACAACACACTCTCCTTTAATTTCATAATAACTGTCAAATTCAAAATAAATAAAAAAATAAATAAAACAAAATAAAAAAATAAATAAGATAATCATAGATACGATTATAAAAGGTTTTAAATTTAATTTGCATAAAAAAATATTATCATATTGAGAAAAAAAAGAAATTAAATTAAAGAAAACCAAATCAAACTGAGACTAGCCAGATGCGCAGGAGATATTATATAACATCGTATTCAGCCGTTTTTAACGTCCCACAGCTGGGCACGGGCTTCACTTCAGTACAAGGGGAATCAGGCCATAGTCCACCACGCTGGCCAAGTGCGGGTTGGCAGACTTCACATGTCTTTTGAAAACTTGCTAAGTTCTCTCAGACATGCAGGTTTCATCACGATGTTTTCCTTCACCGTTAAAACAAGTGGTAATCATGTTGTAAAAGATTCGCACATGAAAATATCAGAGATGCGAGACTCGGGATTTGAATTCGCTTCACTAAGTCTCCCAAGCTCATTGCCTATAAATATGAAACATAATAAGTGAACCCAATAATTAGAGTAACAACAAGAGATCTCCATTAGTAAAAAACCCAAGAGTAGAGCGGCACGTGGCTACATCAATACGCAATTTGGCCGCGGCGGTCGCGATTTGCAACGCTTCCGATATTCGCGCGATGTCGTCGACGATTTATTGGTTAGTGTACTCTGTATACTGTATTTTTTATAAAGTAACAAGCTTTTGCACACGGATGTGTTCGAAAAGTTTGTTTATGCAGAAGTATGTTTTTGTTCGTTGCTTCGCTCGCGTGGTTACTGGGGCAGATCAAGGGTAGCCTATGTCCATCCCTAGTTTACAGTTTATGTCTTTCGAAATTTTATCAAAATCTGTTTAGCGGTTTTAGCATGAAGGGTAAGGCCGTAGTGTGTTGTTAGACAGTGTGTAATCTTACTCGATCAGTAATAGTCTAAGATCCCGACCTATGTGGTAGGTATGGTGGAAGGGTGGTAGACTCATGCTTTTTCCAGGCGAAATATAGTTTTTAAACAATAAACCATATCATCAAACACAACCCAAGGGGGCTGTCACTAAAAATTTGCTCACCCACTGCACATATTTATATATCACAAAAAATATATAGATTTAGTAACTTTACATATATACAAAAAATATAATTCGCCAAAAGGTTAGCATATTTAAAGCAAAGCAAAGTCATTATTTCGTATCGCGGCCATTTTGTCGTTGCGGAGTTGACAGTTCATTTCCCGCCATGATGGATGGCACCCACGATGAAATATTGCTAGTATCTCCAGGGTTGACATATGCAAAAATTGTTTTGCAAACTTATCAAAAAGGTCAGATTAGAATTAGGGTCGTAATAGACTCATCACGGTTTTAGATGAACGAGATTTATGTTTCTTATTTTATAACAGATTACAAGTAGTGGGGTCTTTATTTTGATAATAAATGTTTTGATGGATAATCATTTTGTAAGGATTTAATTTTTGGAATACATCGCGCATCATTTTCTAAAGCAGACTAGCAAAATCCAACAGCTTTAAACAATAATTATATTTTGCTAGTGTATTTAATTCAAAAGTAGTACCTACTGCAAACTGTTATTGATTTGAGTAAAATTTATAGCACTGACATGGAATGTGTCTCGTAGAACGGAGGGAGATGTCTGGCGTTCTCTGCATATATACTTTTGATAATTTAATATGATGTTTCACAGGAAACTCACTTAGAATGCAGTAGGAAAGTATTTTGACATTACTTTTTTAGCTTAACTTTGTTATAATGCATTACACAAATTTAGTGTGTACCTAGATACAGATAAATAAAATTGAAGGGTCTGTTTGTAATGTCAAAATAACAGCTTTTTACTAATTGCAAATGAAATTATATACTGTACTTATAAGAAATGTAATATATATATTTTAAATTTTTGTCTGTCTGTCTGTTTGTTCTGGCTAATCTTCGAAACGGCTGGACTGATTTTGACGGCTGGACTTTCACTGGCAGATAGCTGCTATTATAAGGAGTAACTTATATACTTTTATGTTATAAAAGTATTGAGGGTTTCGTTAAAAAATAAATAAACGGACGCACCTGAGTGAAGCGAGGTTAAGTCGCTAGTAAAAAACAAATGTAATCGTAATCTCAATGCAATACAAATATGACTAGCCATATTTTATTATGATTTAGAGACTCTTTCCTGAAATAATTTATAAAACCATTGCGAAAATGGTGAACATGAATTGAATTTAATAAGAATGGCTTACATTTTTCCAGGAACTACGTAGTTCCGGTCGGAAGGGTTACTTACATACCCTTACATTTTAATATCACCCTTGCGAAATAATGTATCCTATTGGCGAATATTTATGATTTATGATGCTTGGGTTTACTTGTTCGGAGCTTTGTGATTTTTTTTAGGAAATGAGTGAAAAAAGACAAACGATGACTTTTAAATTTTTGATATAGCTGTTATGTATTAAAAAATGTCCTATTTAAGATAAAAGATAAGATTCGATTAAAGTAACAAGTCAGATACAATATGACTATGATTTAATTAATTAATTTTGAAGCCCCATTAAAATGAATTCGATCGTTCTTGAGTGATGTGCGCTCAATGATACCTACAGACAGACAAAAATAATTCACAATTGTCGAATTTGCTTCCACTATGTCAAAAAATCCATAAACACTATTTTTATTGTATAATTCTGTTATAGCTTTTTATATGCTTAGATTAAATATTTGTATGTATGTATAAAAGCGAACTACCACTAACGTTTTCATTTCAAAAATCTTAACTATACTCTATGATAAAAAACATCTCAACCCCATAAACAACCTAATTCAAATTATTATCTGACAAATTATTCAGTTTTCGCGCGCAAAAAACCAAAAGTCAAAATGGGGTAGCCAAAATTATTGCTTCAATTATCCGACGTCAGCCGCCCTCTATTAAAAATGTCTTCACATCGCAACTTGGCGTTTTTTACCGATTTTTTATTTTATTATTATTGTTTTGGAGGGGCGATTTTATGGTTATGATTTACTTGAGTACGCTTTTGGCGAAATTTATTATTTAATTTGAATAAATTAACCAATATTATGATCATGATATGATTATAAAAACTTCTTTGGTAGTCTTGACTGAAGTTTTGACTGCAGAAGAGTCTACAGGTTTTCCAAAGATTCATTTAAGAAAGACTAGTTTTGTTGTAGTTATTAGTAGGTACTTTTAAATCCTTTGCAAAAAGATTAAATGAAAGAGAAGAAAATATTGTAATTCGTCACTTAAAACATCTGTTTCCACCGGTAGATAATAAAAATACGGGTTAGTGTTTTTATTTAGTAGTTGTGTGTCTCTCAATCACTGTAGAGTGTAGTCTACTGGACATAAAGCAAAGCAATTATAAACGCGATTTATATAAATATGTATGTACTTATTTTAAATATCGTTATAAAATATATTTTTTAAATTTTATGTGATATCTAAAAGCAAGACCAATAAGTTATGCAAAAGTTAAAATTAAAAAAAAAAAGATTAAACCCATCTTCAACAGAAATTGCCCAACAAAAGCCGAGGGTTAAATTTGCACCCGAAGCATAAATACTTTCGTATTTATACGTCATGAGACCGCATCCGTTGATGGGACATTAACGTCGCGTGTCGGTCACGTGATGGTCACGTGACCGACACGCGACCCAAGATATGCCCTTATATGGAATTGCTTTAAAATTAACTAAATTTTGAGATATAATCCAGATCTGTAGGAAGTTTATTAATTTAAAGAGGTTAACTGACCGCTTACTGATAAAATATTTAATTTTGTGTCGTCGTTGTCATGTCATGTCATGTTGATAAAATCGTCTAACGTTTTATTACTTTAAAACTCTTGCCACTTTGTTTTTTAAGTAATCACAAGTTTTCTCGCAATTAAGTAAATTACTAAGTATTGTTTTGTTTTCTACAAACGATGTCTTTAAAAGTATTACTAGAGTCTTTTATCAAATATAGCTTAAGTGTAGATTTTTATAACTTTATATAAAATCACATTATCTTTTGATATGTTAAGTTTTTCCTTTGTAAGAAAAAATATTCTATTTTATATCATTAACCATATACATTTTTCATATTCTTATAGAATTTTTTCACGAAACATGATTTTTTAATAAATATCTTGTTATTCAATTAAGATGAAAGAAAGAGTGGAGAATATGATATCAGTGTAACATTTATAAGCATAGCTACTAGCGGCTCACCTTCGCTCTGCTCGAGTTCGTCCCTAGTTGTGTTTTAACTTTTAGTATAGATTTCTCAGATATGAGATATTTTCCCGCAGTAAAAAGAACATGTTGACCCGGATAGCCGGCTATCACCATACCAAATTTCATCAAAATCTGTTCAGTGGTTTTCTCGTGATGCGTTCCCAGACAGACAGATAGACAAAAAATCTAAATACTATAGATTCGGCCTCTGTATCGATAATAATTACTATTTCAATTAGATTTTATTATTATATGTACCTATATATATTATGGAGTCACATTTTTATATAAAGTCCCATTTAGATGTAGTTTTTATTACATAAGGGCAATTACAGACGAAGTTACGAAAAATAGGTAGTACAAAACTAAAAGCGGTTCTTTTTACAAACCTCTAATGGTTCTTTAATATAACTGGGTGTGGCTTTCAAGAGAAGGTAAGAAATAACATTTCGAAATGTTTTACCGAAAAACTAAGCGATTTCTCCCCTTTTAGAAAGTGTACCGCTTCATTTTAAATGCAACCTTATCATCTTGTGATTGAGTATTTTTTTGTTTATCTACTAAGTAACTATAAAACTAGATGAAATGGCTACTGAAGGAGCGTTTACTTAGACAATAGATCAACTGTATATGTTTTTTATCATTAATTAAAAAAAACAAAGTCACTTTAGTTGAAAGTTGTAATTTTTTTTTAACTTACTGTTGACTTTAAAAATAAATATACATTCAACATTGTATATACATATTTCTAATATTATCTACTTTAACTCTATCAATAACATTATTACTGTTAATTTTTTTGGCTATTTAAAATTATCTATTAAATAAAATGGTGACTTTGAAAATATGCAAACTTTGTAAATAATAAATATTAACAAATCGCTTATTTTCAGGCCCAAGCAAGGGGTACGACCGGAAGAAGGGAGCTACAAAGATGGCGCAGCGGAAGACGACACGTGCTCACGCCGGATATCCTGCGTCCATTGAGTTATTGCTTCACTTATAATAATCGTATAAAGTCACGGTTTTCGCATTTTCGGTTTATGGGAAACTTTATGATAGCATTTTTCGATTATGGATTTTCTATGGAATAATATGGAATAATCATTCAAATTAAGATTTTTTTTGTTTGAGTTATACTAATGACTTAACCTTGCCTCGCTCGGGTCCGTCTCTACGTACTTAATAGTAGCCTATGTGTTTGTTACTTTAAGTTATAGTTCCAGTATGTACTAAATATCATCCAAATCCGTCTAGCTATTTAAACATGAAGGGGTAACAAACTTACAAACATACCTACTAACTTTCGCATTTTTAATTGTAGCGTTTTTTGAAACAAGGATTTCTTTTAGAAACTGAGCCTGTATTCACTGACCTTGTAGACTTTTCTTGACATTTGCTTCTTTTAAAATAAGCTATAAAATATCTTTCTCAGTATCATATTATTTTTTGAATGATTTAAACCTAAACTACAACATAGCGTCCATTGATATATTTTTTAGAAATATCTAATCATGAATATGAAACATAAGCATATCAATCACTTAAGCTCAAGTGTTACCCGCATTAAAAATCCACGCGTCTAATTACGTGTTGCCAGATTAGATAAAAAATATATTACGTATCGTTTATCTATTTAATCTATGCTACCGTTTATTAATTTATGGTTATCTGTTCATATCCTTATCTTCTTGCAAGTTAGTTTGTTTCATGATAAAAGTATTACGAGCTTTAATGTTACAATTTGTATGAAATATTTGCGTTATGTTTTAAAATGAAATATTGCGAGCTGCAACGAAGAACTTATAAAGACTAAGATATTGGTATTTTGAAATATAAAAACTTCACCAAAAAATATTTATATTTTTTAAGTATTTAAGTAATTTTCCAACTAAAAGCTTGATTGATACTTTAACTTGTGTTTAAAATTAAACATAATAGTTAAAAGAACCTTATTAAGAAAAGTGAGGTAAAGAATAAAAAGTTAGTACTAACATCACAAGGAACGAAAAGTATAGGATTTTGATATAGGTTTACTTCGGTCAGTACGTATTTTTTGTCTATCTATAAGGCAAAGTTAAAAAATTTCAGTACCTCTTTCTAATCTGTTTGTCAATCGATTTTTTTTAGTAAATACTATCTTTATTGTTATCAATAAAAATAAATTATTAATAGAAAAAAAGTCGAACTGGGTGAACCCCAAGTTATTATTAATGTTTAACTTCTATATATTTTATACAGATTTTTCCAAACATCTAGATTTCCAATGGGCAATGCCTAATAAGCCATCTAATATCAAACAGGGTTAGAACAACTTGTCCCCTACATCCATTAGGAGTGCATTACTACACAATACGTATTGGTATCAATAAACTGGGGTGCAAAATCGCATTACACGACGGAGTTGTTTTTGAAGTGATAGAGTTAAAAGGGTTCCTTTGGAGATTGTAGAAATATTATTATTTGACGATTATTGATTTGACTGGTAGAATTTGTTTTAATCATAACTTTTTTGATATAACGTACAAGTTAAATAAAAAATGAAAAAAAAAACTCCAACTCAAATGTATTAAAGTATATAATATTATTTTTATTATATTATGTAGATAGCATTATACATAATAATAACGATATTCTCTTAGGTTTACGCGAATATTGCACATTGGAATAAAATTATGAATCTATTTTATAGATTTTTCATGTTCATGTTTGTTTTTTTTTATTTACAAAATTTCGTATGCAAACATGACCAAGGGTAGGGCTAAGGTGTTAGACGTCACAATGGTCACTACAGATCGAATTTACTCGCAAAATTTACCTCATCTCACCAAAAAGTTAAAAAAATATATAAATAATTTTCTTTTTTATTTGCTACACCAATAAAAATATTTGAAATATTTTACGTATCTTAATTATAAGAAAACTTACCTATTTATACTAGAAACAGAAGGAACATTGTCCTGACTGCATATCCCTTCACTGAGCAGCCGGTCCCTTATCTCCCACGCGAACATTGTTGGGTTTTCACGTTTGTATGCAGCTATCGCGTCCACTACGGGAGGGGTCGCCACTTTGGGTTTGGAACCTCCTATCACACCAGCTTTGAAGCTACCGGTTTCGTAGTACCTGGAAGGAAGATTTGAATTAGTATAATCCAATATACATAAGGGTTGTACCTATAAGTCTAGCTCTTTCAACGTAAATAGAGAAAACAATATATGTTATATGTTCATTTATGTGCCTCAAAGATTGTAGAATGACATCCTATCTAAGTACCTTTGTTGGACCGGATCTTCATAATAGCTCAATATTATGTACATACTCGTGTATTTATGTATGTCTGATGGCGTTATAACGTCACTAAGTTCATAGACTTATTAGGGTTAGGTAACTGATTGTAAAAAGTCGCTTTGACTTAATCTAAACAGGGTGTTAGAAGATGTCAACGTCATTCTAAAATCGTTGTAGTATAAAAATCTAAGAAAATATATGAGAATAACACATTATTATTGTCGTTAATACAGTACAATTTTTATAATATATATTTGCCATTAATTATAATGTCGGCACAATATCATTTGAAAATATATTATTTCATCACATTACAAATAGTCATTAATAAAATTATACTAACAAACGCTAACCTTTACAAAAACTTAACAGATTTTTCAATCAACAAAATATATTACACGTACAATTCACAAAAATCACATCGTATTCCCTAACGGGCCGTATGGGCTCGGACGCACGCCCCGCCTCTAGGGACGTGGCATTAGAACAAAATTAAATTTCAACTGCTCAATAAAATAATGAGAGGTATTATGACGATTCGATTATGTACACCCTTTGAGGGATGATTTATTTGTATTTTTAGCTGATGCAAAGCCGTGTTGATGGTTTCGAAACCCAGTAGGTAATTCAATTAAATTTGTACTTTTTTATTTATTAAAATAGCTTTTTGCCCGCGGCTTTGCTAGCTTGGTAAAAGGTAGCCTATGTCCTAATGATGCACTGCAAACTTCATTGAAATCTGTTCAGCAGTTTAAGCGTGAACGTGTAACAAGCAGACAGATAGAGTGATTAGTAAGTAGTAAGAGTTTCTATTATAGTATAATACATTCATCGTGCAATGTGGACAAACATACACATAAATAAATAAATAATAAATATCTTGGAACATTAATACACAGCACCATCTAGTTCCGTGGTGAGGCTTGTATTATGGATACCAGATACATATTATACATATAAACACCCATGACTAGAGTACAAGCAATAGTGTTTATTACACACATGAATGCCCCCAGCGAGACTCGAACCCACGACCGCTGGCACAGCCAGTAAGAGCACAAACTGAGCCAAACGTGTGGTCAAAACACAGACATATAAACTTTCACATATTATAATCTATACTAATATTATAAAGAGGTAAAGTTTGAGAGCTTGTGAGTTTGTGATTTTTTGTGACGTTGTAGGGAGTAATCTATGGCTCTACTGAACCGATTTAGATGAAATTTAATAAGAACATAGTTTGAGACCCTGGGAAGGATATAGGATACTTTTTATCCCAGAAAACATCCCTTTAGGGGGTGAAAACGGGGATGAAATTTTGTATTGGGAAGCAAGCTAGGGAAAACCCGAGCGAAGCGAGGGTGAGTCGCTAGTATGTAATATAACAATATACAGAAATAGAAGTAACTTGTAGTTATAATTACATCCAGAACAAGTACTAAAGATATTGCGTTTATTTTACAAGGGTCGTTATTCCCGCGGGATAGAGACAATGTCTCTTACAATAATAGATTGTTTGTATTAACACCAGTCACAAAAAACATGTTATACTATTAGGTAAGATATGATAGATATTGCTTATTTATTCTGATGCCAACTTTTGTGGACGACGTTGCTATTTTTAAAATTGTCATTATTAAATTATTATACTCCTTGAGGTGTGTTTTTTAAAGAATTTTCTTACTGTATCTGGAAGTACATATTATAAAATCATTTTTGATTTGCTACTGGTTTGTTCTTTTTGTTCTCAGTATAATCACCTAGATATACCACTATACTAATTTTAGCACATAATACAAATATTGAAAATTTAAAAGCATGTGCTATAATTTGACACATGCAAAGAACAATATTATAAATCAATCTTGAGGTAAATTAAAATAATACTTTTTTTTTGTAAAAATGTCAAAATTGTAGTAACAATACTAAGTTAAGTAATATTGTGTACTTTTTGTTTAACTTACACAGTCTATCATGTGAAGCTTGTAATAAAAGTTTAAACATTGTAATTAGGATAACTTCAATTCGATCCCTATAATTGGTAAATATTTGCATTTTATTGACAGTCACAGGTAGTAGCCCGTGTGAAGTGATGATATTTTCATGTCAAGGGGCGGAGCAATAAATTTCTGAAAAGCCGGCAACGCATTGGTGGTGCCTCTGGTGCTATAAATGTTCATGGGCGGCGATAATCGCTTAAAATCAGGTGACCCGTCTGCTCGTTTGCTCGCTATTATTATAAAAAGAATCATTTCTAACATGATTACCACTTGTCTTACGATGAAGGAAAACATTGTGAGGAAACCTGCATATCTGAGAGAATCTAGCAAGTTTTCAAAAGACATGCTCAGTCCGCCCGCACTCGGCCAGCGTGGTGGACTATGGCCTGATCCCCCTCGTATTGTAGTTATGCCCGTGCCCAGCAGTGAAACGTTAAAAATGGCTGAATACAATTGCTTTAACCTATCCGTGACTATACTAATAAAAATTGACCACAAAAGGTAAATATAAAGTAGAAAAACGTCTTTTTAAGTCATTGCATACCCAGAGACACTTAAAAAGACACTGTGTAGCAACACTTTGAACAATTTGTCTCATTAGATACTGATACTTCATTTCCTTCACTCACCACAAAGTATTTTTTTATTAAAGCAAATAGCATTATGGTCACATTACGTCCAATAACAAAAAGAGCATATTTGAAATTTTGCGTTAGCTACCCTAATGCACTTACACCCCTCTCGTTCTTGAGTATACTTATTACAATGTAGGTACTGTGATGAACAAAAATATATCGGATCTAATTTATACTTTGATATATTAAAGCTGAATACATATCTTTTTGAAGTTATACTTGTTTTGACACGTCTGGAAAAAAATATGAGAGTAAAAGTTTGACAATGCGCGCGCACACCGACAGCCAAGAAGCGACATGATGAAGTAAGCTGAAAGCGACATGATGAAGTTAGCTGCATTCCTTTTACAAACAGAGAGTTGTGACATACGGGATGAAATCTTTAGCTATTTTTGTTCTGTTACCATAAATGAAGTATAACTTCTTACGTGCGTATATAAGTTCACACACGTTTTTTTTGTTTTTTTGAATGTGCGTTTACAGTCCGTTTAAAACGTCTTCTAAATTTTATAGCTTATTTATTAAGGAAACCTTCTTGGTAAAGTTATAGGGTAGGTATTCATCAACGTATAAGTAAATATATTATTGAATTTGATAAAATAAAGCTTAAATTATACAAAATTCACAAAGCATTTCTATCTAACCACTACTCACATCGCACTTAGGGTGTGATCACACTTATAATTGACTTACGCCACCCTAACGCAAATTACTTAAGTGCCCTACCATCGGATTACGTGTTTTTATCTCTGTAATCCCCTGTAATACTATTGATGGCGTTATCAATTACTGCTTAGAGGTGAAAAACATATAAATAATAAAAACAAGTATTCCGTTGTTGTTTTTGATCGATTTAAAAAAAGTTCTCAGTTTAGACGTGGTATTGTTTTTTTTTAAATAAACAGGTCGTTAACAATGGTCTAAACTAAACTCGTAAGAAAAATCCATTATATTACCTAATACTTTTTTAGATATACGCGAATATTTGACATTTTAAATAAAACTATCTTTTCGGATTTTTGGCCCATTTATTTTAATTTTTGGTTTTCTAAACCGTAACTTAAAGGAACCAAAAATCAAAATAAGTCCGCGAAAAAATCCAAAAAGATAGTTTTATTTAAAATGTTCATTTTATAAGGAATGCTTCCGTTTAAATAGATCTGTAAATTTCTGTATTTTGTTAGTTTTAAAATCGAATTGCAACTTCGTTTTCCTTTTAAAGTCGGTCAAAACAAGAAAGGCATTGAGTAATTTGTTGTATTTAGTTACATTATTGCTTCTATAGCGTGTCATCAATATCAATAGATTGATCAATTTGTGACTGAGTGTCTGGCATATTGGTTGCCGATAAGAGTAGAGGGGACGTAACAGGATTACATGCACCAGCTTTACTTGTACTTCGGTGATGGGTCTCAGTTATGGTGTTATATTACATTTAGATATCTATACCTACATATAATAAAATTCTAACTAAACCGAATCTGTGCATTAAATATTTTTTGGAAAATCTTATTGAAATAGACATTATTATCGATACAGAGGCCGAATCTATAGTTTTTAGAATTTTTGTCTGTCTGTCTGTAACCGCATCACAGAAAAACCACTGGAGAGATTTTGATGAAATTTGGTGTAATGGTAACTGGTTACTTGGGTCTACATATAGGATACTTTTTACTGCGGGAAAATATCTCATCTCTGAGGAATCTATACCAAGTGTTAAAACGTAATTAAGGACGAACCCGAGCGGAGCGAGGATGAGTCGCTAGTATAAAATATAAGCATTTAGCCAAATATCACTAAAATTGTCTATCTATCTATCTATTTATTTTATAAGTAAACTGGTTGAATGTTTCTGCATCATTCTGCTATAATAATATCTTATAACATTAAATGCGCAATTTTTCTATATACACATTTATTTCGTATATCTCGGAAACGGCTTTAACGATTTAGATCAAATTTTGTTATTATATGAGGTTTTGCTTTCTTAAATATGTTTATGCAGGTGTGTTATCCGAAAAAAGCGCAATTTTTATATTTTTTCAGTATATAAAGATAATTTTGCAAAAGAAATTATCAAGAAACGCCTTTAGAAGCTCGTACAAAGGACATTGGATACTTTTTATCCCGGAAATCATCCCTTAAGGGAATGAAAATGGAACCCGAGCGAAGCAAGGTTGATTCGCTAGTAGTATAAATA